CTTGTTGCTTCACCTCATCTGCTGCTGCTGCTGTGCTTGTTGCTTCACACCATCTGCTGCTGCTGTGCTTGTGGCTTCACCCCATCTGCTGCTGCTGCTGCTGCTGCTGCTGTGATTGTGGCTTCACCCCATCTGCTGCTGCTGTGCTTGTATTGTTGCTTCACCCCATCTGCTGCTGCTGTGCTTGTGGCTTCACCCCATCTGCTGCTGCTGCTGCTGTGCTTGTTGCTTCACCCCATCTGCTGCTGCTGCTGCTGTGCTTGTTGCTTCACCCCATCTGCTGCTGCTGTGCTTGTGGCTTCACCCCATCTGCTGCTGCTGCTGCTGTGCTTGTTGCTTCACCCCATCTGCTGCTGCTGTGCTTGTGGCTTCACCCCATCTGCTGCTGCTGTGCTTGTGGCTTCACCCCATCTGCTGCTGCTGTGCTTGTGGCTTCACCCCATCTGCTGCTGCTGCTGCTGTGCTTGTTGCTTCACCCCATCTGCTGCTGCTGTGCTTGTGGCTTCACCCCATCTGCTGCTGCTGTGCTTGTGGCTTCACCCCATCTGCTGCTGCTGTGCTTGTGGCTTCACCCCATCTGCTGCTGCTGCTGCTGTGCTTGTTGCTTCACCCCATCTGCTGCTGCTGTGCTTGTTGCTTCACCCCATCTGCTGCTGCTGCTGCTGTGCTTGTGGCTTCACCCCATCTGCTGCTGCTGCTGCTGTGCTTGTTGCTTCACCTCATCTGCTGCTGCTGCTGCTGCTGTGCTTGTTGCTTCACACCATCTGCTGCTGCTGTGCTTGTGGCTTCACCCCATCTGCTGCTGCTGCTGCTGCTGCTGCTGTGATTGTGGCTTCACCCCATCTGCTGCTGCTGCTGCTGTGATTGTGGCTTCACCCCATCTGCTGCTGCTGCTGCTGCTGTGATTGTGGCTTCACCCCATCTGCTGCTGCTGCTGCTGCTACTGCTGTGCTTGTCATTTTGACATTTACCCCTGAAAAAGTTCAGGGGTATGCCACTAGGCTAGTCCCAGAACTAAGAGGCATGAGTTATGAGGACAGACTACGTGAACTGCACCTCACGTTGCTGGAAAACAAAAGAGCTAGGGGAGATATGATCACCACATACAAAATTCTCGGGGGAATTGACAAGGTGGACAAGGATGGATTAGTTAACATGGGTGGCACACACACAAGGGGACACAGGTAGGGGAGTACCCAAATGAGTCACAGAGATATTAGAAAGAACTTTTTCAGTGTCAGAGTAGTTAGTAAATGGAATGCACTAGGAAGTGATGTGGTGGAGGCTGACTCCATACACAGTTTCAAATGTAGATGTGACAGAGCCCAGTAGGCTCAGAAATCTGTACATCAGTTGATTGACGATTGAGAGGCGGGACCAAAGAGCCAGAGCTCAACCCCCACAAGCACAGTTAGGCGAGTATATTAAATCAGCTTTTTATACTGGTGCTTTTAGGTCTTAGGGAGTCAGTAATTTCTCTCTTATCAGGCCTAAATGTTTGGAACATTATAGTCATAACAGATGACAATTCCTAGGTCTAATTCAGCATCATCTTTGTTACATGCTAACTTGGCTGCAATGCCCGGGACATTGTGAAGGGTTTATTTATGTGAGATAGTATTCATTCAGGAGAGTTTCTAACCCCTTTATTCTGTACAGCGAGCTGGTTATTTATAGTTGCTATTATGAGGCTCTTCCTGTCAATGTTGCAGGAAAAGTTTTAAAGTGCATACTATGAATGACAGGAAATGATTTCTCCTGTACTTTTTAGTGTGCTGGTAACTAGTTGCAGTGCAGCTAGTTCTGTTTGTGCTGAGTTCAGCCAGTTGCTTAGTCTCACTGATGCTCTGTGTACAAGTATTATTTCTATAAAACCTACAGGTTTCTGCAGCAACCTGTCTCACTAATAGAACGTGGCATTTTGACGTATACGCCACCTAAGGCCAACATTTGTCATACAAGAAAATGGTAGCGGCTCGCGAAATTGACATACTATCTCGTTTTCTGTTTTGGGTCCTCTGTTAGGTTAGGATAAGGACACTTTATTTCGACAGTTTCTTGGCGTTGGGAAATCTTATGAGGACGGGCTGGCTGCAGTGCTTCTTGTTAACTACTAGACTGAGCCATTGGTGTAGACATAATGCCCCTGAGATCTTAGGTTTTTGATAGAGGAGGCAATTGTTTCAAGTGTGACGGCTTTAAGAAGAACAAGATTCTCCTTCCCTTTCTTGATGAGTGTGTGATACTTGAATGTTGGGGTATAGAAGGATATCAGTGAGAGGTAGATTACATTTAAAATTTATAATCAATTTGATGAGACTAGGTATTTTTACTTTTTTTGTTATTAACACATTTAGGTACATCTGCATTTGTGCATCTACCCTAGACCTATATGAAGGGGAGTACAGTGTGTCAAAAAGCTAGCTCCGTGATGCTAAAATCACCATCATATAGAATGGTTAGTCATATAGAGGTATGTGATCTCATCATCAGAACTTTCAGGTCTGCATTGGTAAACTCTGGGTGCATTACGAGGATATCATCATCAGTAACACAAGGGTGAATAAGGCAGCAGTGATACTAAAAGTCCCCATCTCGCTGGGGGGACTTTTAGTATCACTGGATGGTTAGTCATACAGGGCCATATGGTCAGTAGTCTGCACGAGCCAATTTTTGGTGTATTATGCCTCAAGAACACGAGAGTGAATAAAGTAATTGCAAAGCTCCAGGTACCTCATGCCAACGGATCTGAATGGTCTAATAACTGGGCATTCGGCGATGTAGTGAGCAAGATCATGCCGCAGTTCCTGCTCACATAGTTTGCACCTGGAGTGCTCAGGATTGGGAGATCCGTCACCTGTAGCCACCTGCCACAGGTAACGGTAACCCAACCTGATCCTGGCAATCACTGTGTCGCACAGCCTGGTGGACGTTTTGTGCTGCCCGTGAACATAGGTTTTAGATATGAACAAATCATAGCTTTTATACTGGTGCTTTCAGGTCGTTGGGAGTCAGTAATTTCTCTCCTATCAGACTATCAGGGGGCCCTGACAGCTGAGTGGACAGCACTTCGTATTTGTAGTCCGGAGGTTCCGGGTTTGATCCCCGGTGGAGGCAGAACAAATGGGCAGTTTCTTTCACCCTGATGCCCCTGTTACCTAGCGGTAAATAAGTACCTGGGAGTTAGACAGTTGCTAACAGGGTTGCTTCTTGGGGGCGTGTAAAAAAAAGAAAGGCCTGGTCGAGGACCGGGCTGCGGGGACGCTAAGCCCCGAAACCATCTCAAGATAACCTCAAGAAAACCTAAGTGTTTCGAACAATATAGTATTGACAGCAGAGATAGGGATTTGAGCAGCTACTCTAGACTATATGAAGGGGAGTACAGTGTTAAAAGGCTAACTAGGTGATCCTAAAAAAAATCCCCATAGCACAGGATGGTTAGTCATACAGAGGCATATGATAAGTAGTCTGCACTGACAGACTCTGGGTTCGTTATGAGGATATCATGAACACAGAGTGAATAAGGTAGCAGTGATACTAAAACTCCTCATCTCACAGGATGGTTAGTCATACAGGGCCATATGTTCAGTCAACCCGTCCTCTTAAAAATAACGTCGCTTTTGGCTCGTATGCGCGCTATGGCCAAAAGTGGAGGTAATTTGAAATGAAATCGGCTCACGAAAGTGACGTACTGTCCCGTTTTCTGTTTGAGTCGTCCGACTTACTCGGACAGGTTAGGAGAGGAAACTTTCAATTAACGTTTTTCATAACGTTTTGAAACTTTATGAGAATTTCCTGCCCACCTAACCTATCAGAGGACCCTTAACTAACTGTTGTTGAAAAAAAATCTCAAATTTATTTTCATTTTTTTCTCTTTGAAATTACGTCCAATTTCGGCCATATGGGCAAATGGCCAAAAGCGACGATATTTTTAAGAGGACAGGTTGTTCACCTGTACCGGCAAATTTTGGGTGCACTATGAGGATATCTTCAAGAACATGAGAGTGAATAATGTAATTACAAAGCTCCAGGTACCTCATACCAACTGGTATGAAAGGTCTAATAACTGGGCATTCGGTGATGTAGTGTGGGAGATCATGCCTCAGTTCCTGCCCACAGAGTTTGCACCTGGAGTGCTCAGGATTGGGAGATCTGTCACCTGTAGCCACATGCCACAGGCAACGGTAATCCAACCTGATCCTGGCAACCACTGTGTCGCACAGTCTGGTCCACGTTTTGTGCTGCCCATAGATATAAGTTTCAGATCTGATTAAATCATAGCTTTTTATACTAGTGCTTTCAGGTCGTTGGGAGTCAGTAATTATGTTTCCTATCAGACCTGAGTGTTTGGACCAATATAGTTTTGACAGCAGAGATGGGGATACCTAGATCTAATTCAACTTCATCTTTGTTACACGCTAATTTGACTGCAATGTCTGTCTCATTATGATGGGTTATATTTATGTGTAAAGTTATCCATACAAAGGAGATTCAAGACCCCTTGCTCTGTGCAGCGATTAGGTCATTTATAATTGGTAGTATGAGGTTCTTGTTGTCGATCTTCCAGGAGAAGTTTTCGATTGCTTGAAGAGCAGACTTTGAATAGCAAAATATTATTCCTCCAATGTTTTTTAATGTTCTGGTAGCTAGTTGTAATGCCGTTTTACTCAGAACGTAAATTATAAACAAGTCTATGGACTCCTCGCGTATATTTTAAACTTAATTTTTCGTTATTTGACTTTTTTCTGGTTGCAGCCAGTTCGCACACGTTTAGCATCCACGCAATATTATGTATTAATCTAATACCTTGCGTACAAATCTAATGAAACCCTCAAACCTTTTGTGCTTGCATGTCGATTTCTGTGTGGTATCTTTTCATTACTGAGGACAAATTTGGTCCATGCAGACAAAACAGGTATCATCAGATTAATATATCCTTCCCTAAATTTAGTTTTGTTTGTGGTCACAACTAATCATTTTATCTGTATCTCTTCCAACAGCAATATGCTCACGGGACTGCGGCTCGGGCGGACGGTGCGTAAGGCCGAACCTGTGCATGTGTCTCGGCGGGTTAATATCTTCAGTCTGCGGTGGGAGAGGCGGTGGTAGAAACGGCATCGGCATCGGAGGCGGCAGCCGTGGCATTGGAGGCGGCAACGGCGGCATCGGAGGCGGCAACGGTGGCATTGGAGGCGGCAACGGTGGCATCGGAGGCGGCAACGGTGGCATTGGAGGCGGCAACGGTGGCATTGGAGGCGGCAACGGTGGCATCGGAGGCGGCAACGGTGGCATCGGAGGCGGCAACGGTGGCATCGGAGGCGGCAACGGTGGCATTGGAGGCGGCAACGGTGGCATTGGAGGCGGCAACGGTGGCATTGGAGGCGGCAACGGTGGCATCGGAGGCGGCAACGGTGGCATCGGAGGCGGCAACGGTGGCATCGGAGGCGGCAACGGTGGCATCGGAGGTGTCGGTGGAAGGCCCAATGGCGACGGGTTGGGCACAGTTGACGGAGTAGCTGGCGGAGTAAGAACAAACGGTGCAAATGGAAGAGGCTACAATGGCTTTAACGGTGGTGTTGATGGTAAGTGTGTTTACTTCTGCACAACATGCGCTTTGACACACAAATAATATATAAATAAAACAAAAATAAGAATAAATGGATGACTTTAATGTGAGAGGATATATTGTTGAAATTTCAAGAATTGTATATTCCACAGGTTCGTACACTTTCTGTATATTTAATTAAAGGTAATTTATTTTGCAGGCAATCGTGTTGATGGCGGGGGTCGCAGGCCAGGTAATTAATAAATATTTGTTTAAAAGTACTATTTTTTACCTTCTGCCACTTAATAAGTCAGCAGTTATCAGTCAGTGAATACTGTCGACAGTTAGCAGATACAGTCAAAAGTCAGCAGACAGGAGTTACCAGTCACAAGTCATCAGGCACAATTGTGTAACGGTCATCAGTCAATAGAAGCAGTCATGGATCCTCAGTCACATGGATTTGTGACTGGTTGACTGCCATGGTTGTCAATCATTAACTATGGCAGCCATCAGACTCATCTAATCATTGGACACAGCATCACTCTGCATACACAGTAACATACTGTCACAGTTAGGTATGAGACAGTCTTCCAAGTCACCAAGTGTCTTCCTTATTCTCCACAGTTCCCAGACATTTCTTCCGTGTTCTCCATTGTTCCCACCCAGGCGGCTCTTCCTTGTTCTCCACTGTTCACAGACATTTCTTCCGTGTTCTCCATTGTTCCCTGGCGGCTCCTCATTGTTCTCCACTGTTCCAGGGCATCTCTTCCTTGTTCTCCACCATTCCCAGGCATCTCTTATTTGTTCAACACCATTTCCAGACCCCTTCTTCCTTGTTCTCCACCATTCCCAGGCTCTTCCTTGTTTTCCGTCATTCAAGGCTCTTCCTTCCAAATGCAACGCCCTGCCTTATTCATTATTCCTATTGATCTCTTTTTATGGGATATCTCTCCATGGGCACACTTATCAAATGCTTTTGCAAAGTCTGTGTATGCAACATCTGCATTATGCTCCCTTTAAATCATTATCTGTGGAAAGCCCCATCGGCTCCATGAAGCTATCATCACTGATAGCTTGTGGTAGTGCCACACTACCTAGTGTCATCAATAGCGGAGTTCTTTTTGCCTACCGGGGACCACAAACCAGAACCTGGCTTCCTCATAGAGGTAATGAGAGTAATGTCCTATGATCACTTAACGTTTAAAGGATATCATCTCTGCCATCACCAGAGAAGGTGATAAATAGCCGAATCAAAACAAACCACTGGCTGGTTTAAAAAATGCAACCAAAGCCCATCAAATGCCAAAAAAATCTCCCCCAAGAAAAAAAAAGACACAACCAAATCTTAGTGAAACTAGACCCCTGCTAGTTAAGTTCCACCTTCCCCCCTCGTTGGGGGGAGCCGGCCGGGCCGATCAGCTTCAGTTCTTTACCGATGTGCTTGCTTGGCGGTCTCGTTACTCTGGTTCTTCTTTTCCCGTTTTTGCTTTGCGTTTACTTGCCTGTTTTGGCAGTGTTTTACAAGAAAGTTTGATTTAGCCAAAGAGTTACAGTGTACCGGAGCTGCACGAGTTCAGTTTCCTTCCCCTGTGCGCTCGTGAATACCTGTACTACCCTTGTTTGGTTAGGGTTGTCTTCCCTGGGCCATTCAGAGTTCTGGTGCATCTAGTTCGGAGTTCTTTTGCATTTAGTTTGGATTTTTTTCATTTAGGGTGGTCTTTGGTCGCGTTTTTTAAACCAGGCAGTGGTTTGTTTTTACCTGATTTTCCCGAAGGCCACTAACCCTAGTGACCTCGACGAGGGCACTAGGGTTGATATTGAAATTATATTGAAGCCTTACAAAGAGATCTTCATGAACTCCACAAATGTCAGAAGACTGGTAAATGCTTTTAAATATCTAGAAATGCAAGACCATGCATGTAAAGTATAACAATCTTCGCCAGGACTACCAAATTAATACGATTACATTACCGCAGATTGGATGACGAAAAGGACCTTGGAGTCGAAATCCACCACTCATTAAAAGTTGCACAACAGGTGGGGGCAACAGACAGAAAGGCTAATCAAACTTTTGGGATAATCAAGTGTACTTTTGACTATAAGAAAAAGAAGGTAATGGTTCAACTATATAAATCTGGTGCGCCCCCCATTTGGATTACCGTATCCAAGCATGGAGACCTCATTTCCAGAAGGACATTGCTACTCTTGAGAAGGCAACGAAAGTCATTCCAAAGCTCAGTCATCTCCCGTATCAGGAACGCTTGGGCCACAGGGCTAACAGCACTGTAAACCAGGCATGACAGGGCGGACCTCAATGAAACTTTTAAAGTACTGTACTGAACAAGTTAGAGACTAATAGGGGGGAGGGGAACCTTCGGCAAAGCTTTACTAACATTTTACTCCCTTTAGCTCATTTTGCTCCCTATAGTTCATTTTGCTCCCTATAGTTCATTTTGCTCCCTTTAACTCGTTTTGCTCCCTTTAACTCGTTTTGCTCCTTTTAAACACATTTTGCTCTCTTTAACTTATTTTACGCTCTTTAAATCTTTTGATCCCTTTAACTCATTTTGCTCCCTTTAACTCATTTTGCTCCCTTTAGCTCATTTTGCTCCGTTTAACTCATTTTGCTCCCTTTAACTCATTTTACTCTCTTTAACTCATTTTGCTCCCTTTAACTCATTTTGCTCCCTTTAACTCATGTTGCTCCCTTTAACTCATGTTGCTCCCTTTAACTCATGTTGCTCCCTTTAACCCATTTTGCTCCCTTTAGCTCATTTTGCTCCCTTTAACTCATTTTGCTCCCTTTAACTCATTTTTCTCCCTTTAAGTCATTTTTCTCCCTTTAATTCATTTTTCTCCCTTTAATTCATTTTGCTCCCTTTAACTCATTTTACTCCCTTTAACTCATTTTGATCCCTTTAACTCATTTTGCTCCCTTTAACTCATTTTGATCCCTTTAACTCATTTTGCTCCCTTTAACTCATTTTGATCCCTTTAACTCATTTTGCTCCCTTTAACTCATTTTGATCCCTTTAACTCATTTTGCTCCCTTTAACTCATTTTGCTCCCTTTAACTCATTTTACTCCCTTTAACTCATTTTGATCCCTTTAACTCATTTTGCTCCCTTTAACTCATTTTGCTCCCTTTAACTCATTTTGCTCCCTTTAACTCATTTTGCCCCCTTTAACTCATTCTGCTCCCTTTAACTTATGTTGCTCCCTTTAACTCATTTTGCTCCCTTTAACTCGTTTTGCTCCCTTTAACTCAGTTTTGCTCCCTGTAACTCATTTTACTCCATTTAACTCAGCTTTGCTCCCTTCCAGCTCGTTTTGCTCCCTTTAACTCGATTTGCTCCCTGTAACTCATATTACTCCCTTTAACTCGTTTTGCTCCCTTTCAACTCATTTTGCTCCCTTTAAATCATTTTGCTCCCATTCAACTCATTTTGCTCCCTTTAAATCATTTTGCTCCCATTCAACTCATTTTGCTCCCTTTAACTCAGTTTTGCTCCCATTCAACTTGTTTTGCTCCCTGCAAGTAGTTTTGCTTCCTGCAAATCGCTTTGCTCCCTTCAAGTCATTTTGCTCTTTGCAAGTCATTTTGCTTCCTGCAAGTCGTTTTGCTCCTGCATGTCGTTTTGCTCCCTTAAGTTGTTTTTCTTCCATAAGTCGTTTTGCTCCCTGAAGTCGGTTTGTTCCCCTGCAAGTAATTTTGCTCCCATAAGTCGTTTTTCTCCAATAAGTCGTTTTGCTTCAAGAAGTTGTTTTGCTCCCTGAAGTCTTTATGTTCCCTTAAGTCATTATATTCCATAAGTTCACCAGACTCCTGTACTCATTACATTATGTGACAGTGTCGGACCAAGACATCTTCAGAAGGATGGATTTACAGTTCAGTGGGTGTGGATATATAGACAGGAAAGAGGTGAGGTGAGGTGAGGTACAATGTCTTTAATGAGATAATAGGTTATTAATAAGATATTAGTGAGATAAATGTGTATCAATGATCCTACTCAAATTGATCTTTAACTGAGCAATCAAAAATGTATGTAAATTCTACAAACCACTGCTGCTGTTCAAATTACATGATTTTGTAATCTGTACTAATGCAGATTCAATAATGTTCCTATTGAAAATGTTTTACAATTCGTTATTGAGGAAGCCCTCTTTCAATCAATTTGGTGACAACTTTCTGTTGTCTTTGTGAAATTTTTTTCTTATCTCTTTTGTACATTTTTTGTACTTTCATTAAGAAAGGAGATTTGAACATTAATACAAATGTCCTCAGTCAGAAAGGACTGCACCAGAGCAGCTTGTACTTTAAGACTAAATGTAGAATGGCGAGAGCAACCGCCCAGGTTCCCACAATGGGAATCCTAATCCATTAGGTTGTTGAGTTCCTCAAATTCCAAGTGCACTTTTAAGGGTAACTTATGAGTTTTCACATCAAATTTGATTTGATGTGTACGGCTATGAATCGGGTTTGAATCCAGAAGCAGGCCTTCATTAAAGATCCCAAGAACAGTTTCACCACGTTGCAGGATATATATGGGACAAGTCCTGGCAGTATTGACATTAAGACAGTTATCTTTTCAACAATACCAATTTATTCATAAAAGAACTAAATCTAGTACATGACAACAATCTTGATGTTACGTTAATATCCTTATGTACATTCTTGTATTTGCATAAATAAATAAATAAATAAATAAATAAGTAACACCTTAAAGACAGCTATTCAACAGCCAAGTGTACCATAAACTCCTGTCTATGCCACTCTCAAGTATAACAACAGACTCCTATTTATTGTCGCTTTGGGCTGACTAAATAAACTAACTGAACAATCAGTGCTCACTTAGGACGCAAATTGCAATAAACACTTGCTGCACTCTGCAATTAAATTACAATGAAATCAAAGCAAGGTGAGGTTAGAGACGAACTTTGGTAATCCCAAGTTACTTTAATACTTGTCTCTCCAGATGGCAATCAAACAATAGTATAAAAAGTTACACTAATTGATCTCAGTGATTAATTACATTATTTAACTGTCAACTGGCATTCAGCAACAGGTAGTCTACGTTAATCACAATCGTGTCTCTCAGACACTCAAGCAAGACAGAACACTAATTCGTTGACCATGATTACTCAATCACTTGGATCATCAAGCATTGAGTAATTACACTAATTACTGTAAACAGACCGGTAATTAGTCGAGAACGAATTATATTAACAAAGATGTGACTCAATAGCTTTCCAAACAAGATTGTCAAATTGACGTTGATGACGTTTATTACCCCTAATTAACATGAATGATTAATTACTGTCACACGGACAGATAATTACATCCAGAACGTATTATGTTACTCAAATACGGTTACGTACAACAGATCCCATCAAACCATGTGAATTACTTTGACGCTAAATACCCTTAATTAACTTGAATGACTACCGTCCTACGGACAGATAATTAATCCAAAATGACTTATGTTATCTCAAATACTGTCACCCATGACAGCTAGTCAAAACACTGTGAATTCGCTTTGATGACATTAATTACCTCTAATTAACTTGAGTGATTAATTACTGTCACACGGACAGATAATTACATCCAGAACAAATTATGTTACTCACTCCCTGTTGTCCTCAACAACAGTGCTCAATAACCATGTGAATTTAAACTATGTGGAATCACTTTGATGACATTAATTACCTTTAATTAACTTGTGTGATTAATCACTGTCCTACGGACAGATGACTAATCCAGAACAAATGTACATTAACACAACAGAGCTGTCACCCACGACAACTGGTGTTAATTACCCCTAATTTACTGAAGTAATTACTGTCAACCGGACAGATAATTTATACAGAATGATTTCGTTAAATCAATCTGCCACTCACGACAGCTCTCATCAAACTATATGAATTCCCTTGGTGATGTTAATTACCCCTAATTAACTTCTCACTGAATCCTCAATTAACCAATTCAAGAATTCACCAAGTCCTTGTTGCACAGACAAGCAAAACACAGGTTACACCGATGTCCACAGGTTACACAGTTCAGTAATAATATATATAACTGCCCCAAAATCACACGCAACTCATAGCAATAAATTTCACAGAATTTTAACACTGACACAATAATACATATATCAACACAGTAATTACCAAAACAAGGTGTCACTACTGGTCATCCCTTACTTCTGCTGAATTACTGGATTCACCTGAAATGAAATAAACACATACACGGCAATAATGAATACAGCACGGTATAAATAAACCATACTAATTTATACACAATAGTCCTAGAGACTCGTTTGTGTTCCCAGGTGTAATTCAGTTACACTTTAACAACTTGACTGACAGCCATTCCCTCCAACTGACTGATGTCATTTTTTACAGGTGTATCTCACACAGCTTCTGCTTCTTTCACCTAAATCAGGTGCTGAGGGCAACGACAGCTGGACCCTGACTATGAGTCAGTTCAAAGACTTAAGCACGAAACATAATTAGAGTACTGTGCTATACTCACGTTAATACCGGTCTTCTCTCATTCACACATCCACTCCCATTCATGCACTGAAGCTGCAGTACTGAAGAGCTGGAGATCACCCAAACTTCATCCATGTGGTTATGGAGACCACGGAGTGTGACCCGGTGTTGTGAACACAGGGTGATTGACAAATTTTTCACGTTCCCAGGCGTTGGGCACGGAAACACACAGTAAGTGAGCAAGACCTGTGCTCCTCATTGAGACAGGAATTCGTGTGGACGGCTTGTACACGCACACAATGAGCGATGAGGCTCGTACAGTGTGTGGTGTCGTGAGACCAATGGTGACGTGGTCAGTGGGAATCAAGTGGCGGTAATTCTATGAATTACCACAGGAAGCTTCTGTAACCACTGAGAAAACTTCCTTAATTTCCCATCCTGTCAGGTAGCGTAAAAAACAGATGACGATCGATGATAACGGTAAACTCGGATCACACCAACAGTCCAGTTGAGATTGCGAGTTGAGACTTTCACTTATCTCAAAAATACCCAGTTAATCTCCCACACTTGTGCAAACTGAATTATGACAGCAATTCGTGGAAGCAGGAATCAGAACTGATAAATTGTTGTTGATGCTGCGTGGACGGAGATTGTTGCTAATTGGCCGGTTAACACAATCTTCTCATGTCCATTCAACACAGTCGCAACACGCAGAATGCTTGAGGATCTGGCGGTAACTCAGACCCGCTCCTCCCCCTCTGTGCTGCTATAAATCACAGGGCTTCCCCTTGTCATGTGGTGCCCTGGGGTGATGTCACTGCCTGCCAGCCATGTGCTGGACTCAGCGAGACCATTGGTTTTATGACTGCAAGCTCCCTGCTTGCAGCTCACTGTACACATTTTCATGTAAAACATGCTAATGTCTGTATCTCTGTATCTCTGCTCACAGATGTGCTACTGCAGCCACTGTAGCCTCACTGGACAGCCCTGGATCTCTGCTTCATACAGATACCAAATAAGAGACAACTTGGGGTAGAATTACAGAAATCTAGGAAGAATGCACAACTGTGCACTATGTCCTGAGTGTACAGTAACGGTTTGCACTCCAACACAGTCCAGAAAGCTAGCTAGAAATTCCATCCTTTCACACTTTACAAGGTATTTTGTAAATGACAATTATCACTATGAGGACTTTTTTTTTTACTAACAGTTTTCCAACGGTATTTTCGTAATTAAATAATACATGTACAGTACTATATCAAAACGTTTGAAGGCCTTGACAATATTTTCTAACCCAGAAAAAATATGGTAAACATAACACATTTTTTTTAAGAATTTTCTCATTGCATATATTACTGTGTATATGTACGACCTGCTTCTCTATGGTAAACTTAAAAAAAACTCAGTGGATAACAAAGCTTGAGACCAATAGAATCAATATTCTTGAACTCTTCATCGAAGCATTCTGGACTAACAACCCGAAGAGCTCTTAGATACATAGAGAAATTTTTTTATTGTTTCACATTGTATCTATGTCCTGAGAAATAACAAACATAAAACAAATTATTTGTAGGCTCTCTGTAAACACTAAACTTTAGTGAAAATTCTTCCCTATGAATAAGTATTTCTCAAAAATTACCCCTGGAATATTCCATGGTTTAGATATGTTGATGATATTTTGTGCCTACAAATGTAAATTCAGATGAATTTGTAGCTAAACTTAATGATCAAGTCATCTCAATAAAAATTACAATGATAAATGAGACTGAAATTCATAAATGTTAGCCATTTTTAAATATACTTATTTATGGGGAAAATTTTTCACTGAAGTTTAGTGTTTACAGAAAGCCTAGAAATAATTTATCGTATGTTCATTATTTCTGGGACATAGATACCATGTGAAAGAATTAATTTTTTCCTCTATGTATCCAAAAGCTCTTTGGGTTGTTAGTCCAGAATTCTTGGATGAAGAGTTTAAGAATAATGATGCTATTGGTCCCAAGCTTTGTTATCCTCTGAGTTTTTTTTTAAGTTTGCCATAGCAAAGCACATCGTACATATTATAATAATATATGCAGTGAGAAAATTTGCCTCAAAAATGTGTCTTTTACCATATTTTTCTGGGCTTGATATTGTCAAGGCCTTGAAACTTTTTGTTATACATGTATTGTTTAATTACAAAAATACTGTTGGAAAACTATTACTGTAGTTAGGAAACAGTCCTTGTAGTGATAATTGTGTCATTTACAAAATAACTTGTAAAGACTGTAATAGATTCCTTGTAGGGCAAACATCCAAAGATTTGAAATTTAGAATTTTGCAACATAAATACTCTGTAAGACACGGCTAATTGTCTAATGCTTTGTTTGTTCATTCTACAGAAAGTTCTCACCAAATTGATATGGAGAGGGCTTCCTCGATAACAAATTGTAAAAGTATTTTCAATAGGAACATTATTGAATATGCTTTAATATAGAATACAGAATCATGTAATTTGAACGTTAACAGTGGTTTGTATAATTTATATGATTTTTGATTGATCAGTTATAGGGCAATTGTTGTAGGATCATTGATACACATTTATCTCACTAATACCGTATTAATGTCCCATTATCTTTTATCTCATTTCATCTCACCTCACCTCCTTCTGGCCTATATATCCACACTCACTGAACTGTAAATCCATCCTTCTGAAGTTGTACAGTATTATAAAATACGAAAGTACTTAAGGAAATTCCTGTCTTAATCCTTCCTTCGTGGTCTGACATTGTTCATCCAACCCATCCTCTTAAAAATAACGTCACTTTTTGCTCGTATGCGCGCTATAGCCAAATTTGGATGTAATTTGAAATGAAATCAACTCACAAAAGTAACGTACTGTTTCGTTTTCTGTTTGAGTCGTCTGGCTTACTCGGCAAGCTTAGAAGAGGCAATTTTCCGTTAACGTTTTTCATACAGTTTTGAAACTTTGAGAATTTCCTGCCCACCTAACCTATCAAAGGACCCTTAACTTACTGTTGTTGAAAAAAAAAAATTCCAAATTTATATTCTTTTTTTTCATTTTCAAATTACGTCCATATTCGGCCATACGGGTAAACGGCCAAAAGCGATGTTCTTTTTAAGAGGACAGGTTGATTCATCACATGTTAATTTCTTAGTGATTTACACACATTACACTACATGTACATTAATTTCCCTGTACAGTATTCTATACTCATTATAATTTCTGTTCTGTGTACTCATTATGCACTTCTCATTATACTCATTTACTCCTTGTTCCCATTACACAACTCTTCTTTTGTGCCTGGACTTATTCTGGCCTTGGAATTCCTCTCTTAATAGACTGCAAGCCAAATTCATGTCTAGTTCAGTTTTAATTCCCATTCGGTAGTATGCCTCTGCTTTGTCAAACTCTATTATTTCTTCAGGTGAAGGCACCACTCCAAGTTATGTATTCTAACTTTGGTTTGATGAATGTTATCAGTGAAAAAAATAACAATATTTTTCTTTATAATTTGTAGATTTGTGTTTGTATTCTTTACTAGATTGATTTTTTTTTAAATAGATTTAGTTATCACAAAACAAAACTTGCCCCAAGCTGGGTTTGGGGAGTAGAACTCCTTTGGAAATCAACTCCAGGTAAACTTCAGAAATTGTGGAATAAAATGAATGCAAATGTCAAATCATATTTCTTCCTTTACAGACTTGGGGTGCCAGACTTCATGTCTAAATGGGGGGACGTGTCAAGGGAATCGATGTGTGTGCCGTTTAGGCTTTAGAGGGGAACACTGTGCTGAACGTAAGTAACACAACATGGTAGTACTCTGCTCAACATAATTTTTCTATTTATTTATTTATTTATTTATTTATTAATTTATTTATTTATTTATTTATTTATTTATTTATTTATTTATTTATTTATTTATTTATTTATATACAAGAAGGACATTGGGTTCATGAGAGTACAGAGACTTTAAGTTTTACGTTCTTGTAAAGCATGCATAGCGTTTCGGGCAGATCCTTAATCTATCATATAATTCAAATGTTTATTCAGGTAAAGTACATACATAAAAGATGGGATACAAATATTGATGAATTTATAGATAGAGCTAGTACATACAATGCCTAAAGCCACTATTACGCAAAGCGTTTCGGGCAGGAAAAACACTGAAGACTAAAACTTAATACTAATTGAGATTAAAGTATAAAATGTGTTGAGAAAATATAAAAATAAAAAAGGGGGGAACATGGCAGAAAAACAGCAAAAAATACAATTTGGTCGATAAACAGCATTGTTTAAAAAAAAATAACAGACATGGGTTGACATTATAGGGGTAAGGTAGGTTACAGGGAGTTATTTAGGTAGTGCTTAGTTTTTATCTTAAACTGGTTGAGAGAGGTATAGTCTTTAACATGATTGGGAAGGTCATTCTACATTCTGGGTCCCTTGATTTGTAGAGCATTTCTAGTTTGATTAAGTCGTACTCTTGGAATATCAAAAAGGTATTTGTTTCTGGTATGGTGCTCATGGGTTCTGTTACAACCTTCAATGAAGCTTTTAAGGTCAGGATTGACATTACAGTTCAGTGTTTTATATAATATATATAATACACATGAGAGGATGTGCAGTGACTTAATATCTAACATATTCAGAGATTTGAGTAGGGGTACTGAGTGATGTCTGGGGCCAGAGTTGGATATTGTCCTAACAGCAGCTTTGTGTTGAGTAATTAGAGGACATAAATGATTTTGGGTAGTAGAACCCCAAGCACAAATACCATAGTTGAGATAAGGATAGATGAGAGAGTAATAGAGTGTCACCAGGGCAGGGCGAGGTACATAATATCTGATCTTAGAAAGAATGCCAACAGTTTTTTAAACTTTTTTTTCTATATTTAGAATGTGCCCCTGGAAATTCAGCTTGTGGACAATGAGAACATCAAGGAATTTGCCATCTACTTTGTTACAAATTTGGGTATTGTTTATCCTGAGATTTATTTGATTTGAGGAATTTTTTGAGAATTTTAAGAAGGTAATTTCTAGCAAAATTTAACAATGTTTACAGGTGCATTGTAAGAAAGTACAAAAATACATTGAAAGAAAGTACAAAATTCATTGCAAGAAGGTACAAAAGTGCATTGTAAGAAAGTACAAAAAGAAATTGTATAAGAAATTTGACAAAAAAAGTAGGTACATTGAAGTAAATTTAAGGGTAATCCACAGGTACATTTTAGCGTAATTTGAGGATTATTGCAAGATATGTAGCAAACTATGTGTATAATATGATACAAGATAGCAGCAATGTTTACAAGTTGTATGGCATAGGTAAATATATTGGAGAATTGGGTAGCACTAGATACAGTGTGAGTTTCAAGCACTAGGTAGGAAACTATGAAGATGAAATTAGGTACTTTATGGTTTTATTTTTGAATAAGGCAAAAGTTTGACTGGTTTCAATTTGTTAGGGAGTGAGTTCCATAGACCAGGTCCCTTTATTTGCATAAAGTGTTTACATAGATTAAGTTTGACTCTGGGGATATCAAAGAGATATTTATGTCTGGTGTGGTGATTATGTGTTCTAATACATCTGTCCAGGAAGAGTTTCAGAACAGGGTTTTCACTTAAGAAAAGGGTTTTGTAAATGTAACTGGCACAAGAGAATGTGTGGAGTGAATTTATGTTTAGCATGTTTAGATTTAAATAGGGAGAGCTGTGTGTTGTCTGAAAGCAGATGGGCTTGAGGTAGTTTGCAGAGGTTGAACCCCATGCACAGATACAATAAGTAAGATAGGGATAGATTAGTGCATAATATAGTGAGAGGAGAGCAGAGTAAGGTACATAATATCTGATTTTAGAGAGTATACCAACTGTATTAGAGACTTTCTTAGTTATGTGTTGTATGTGGGTGCTGAAGATGAGTCGCTTGTCTAAGTATAGGCCAAGGAACTTTCCATCATTTTTATTGCTGATGTTAACATTGTCTATCTGAAGCTGAATTGCATTTGTTGATTTGCTTCCAAATAAGATGTAGTAGGTCTTTTCTATGTTTAGTGTGAGTTTGTTGGTTGACATCCATAAGTGGACTTTTTTAATTCATTATTTGCAACATTATTTAATATGTGTGGGTTGGGGTCTGAGTAGATGAGGGTAGTATCATCAGCAAACAATATAGGTTTAAGCATGTTAGAGACATTAGGCAGATCATTGATGTATATAAGAAATAGGAGGAGTCCTAGGAAGCTGCCTTATGGCACCCCTACGGTTAATGGTAGAGTGGGAGAGGTTATATCATTGATGGCTACATATTGGTATCTGTCACTAAGATAGGATCAGATACAGTTCAGGGCAAGGCCTCGGATTCCATAATGGTGAAATTTAAGTAAGGGGTAGTTATGGTTAACAGTATCAAAGGCCTTTCTCAGGTCAATGAAGAGTCCAATGGGAAACTCATTTTTGTCTGTGCTCTCTTAAAGTAACACTTAAGGGAGCACTGTACTGAATATTTGTAAAAACATGGGAGTACTGTACTGAATGTAAATAGCACTTAACATGGGAGCACTGTTAGGATAGACAATGTTAACATTACTAATAAAAATGAGGGGAAGTTCCTTAGCCTATACATTGACAGATCTGTCCAAAATGCTATGAGTGTTAGTGCCTTTGTAAGAATGTAAAAAATAACAATCTTATGTAATCTCACCAACCCACTATTCCTTCTTGCAAATAAATTATTATTATTATTATTATTATTATTATTATTATTATTATTATTATTATTATTATTATTATTATTATTATTATTATTATTATTATTATTCAGTTATTATTATGGGAGGACTGTATTGAATGTAAATAACACTTAACATGGGAGCACTGTGCTGAACATAGATAACACTTAACATGGGAGCACTATGGTGAACATAAGTAACACTTAACAGAGGAGCACTGTGCTGAGGATAAATATTATCCCACCAGGCTTCCTAGGGATGCACTAATAATGAACATGAGTAATACTTCAGAAGGAGACATTGGCAAAATGCAAGCACAGTAATACTGTACAAGAGAGCACTGTGCTGAATACAGGCAATATCTCGCATGATAAATTATCTGAAGTTCTTGCACTTTGTCCATGTTTTGCTTTTAGTAAAAATGTAGCCTAAAATCATAAATGGTGACACTTCTGTTACCCTGTATTGAAAATTATATTTAGTACAGTATTATGAAAATGACCTACCTACAGTGTGTAAAAATATATTGTCATACATGCCAGTTACAGTACAAGTTATAGGGTTGCTAGTTATAGGGTTGTCTTACCTTCTATCATTATAATTAATTAAAAGGTCTGTCAGATAAAGTGTAAAATTTAATGTTAAGTAACATCATCTGTGATCCTTTTGTGCTGCTGCTGCTCACAAGATGAGTATGGGGTGCACAATAACCTAGCAGCAGCAATACCAAATATTTAGTGGGAAGTACTTTGCAACATGTAAATAATATATTGGCAATCTTCATAATGAAACACTGTGCCAAATGTAAATATGGTAATGGTTGTTCAGGATTTGAAATGATAAATGTGAGTAATATCTATGCACATTTAACATGGAATTACTGTGCTGAATATAAGTGATATCTCGGCAGGCTCCATTAGTCATTATACACTCTGTCCTTATTAAACCACACTATTTTTATTGCAAAACATTCTTGATTGGCCCTCATGTAATTAAACCACATCTAGTTTGTATATACATTTACTAATTTCTGTTTATTCCTTCAGCTGTGTGCCAGGAGCCATGCTTAAATGGTGGTCGGTGTGTGGGACCAGATCGCTGTGCATGTGTGTATGGGTTCACGGGCAGGCGCTGTGAAGCAGGTACATATCTCCTTTCATATTATCTCGTATAGTATTCTGTATAATTTTAACTCTAGAAAATGGTACATATGTGCAAAATTGACCATTGAGTGTTGGGGCGAGGTTGGGTTAAAAGTCTCACGACTTCCAACCTTTTTTGTACAGTCAGTATAATCTAGTTGGTATAGTTTCTGGGTTCGAATCTTTCTGGGGTCAGGAGTTTTCAGTTCCGTATTGGCTTGGGGACCATTCAAGCTTCTTTGCATTTGTGTTACTCACATGGCCCCAACAGCAAGGTGATTCAATTAAATATCTGTACCCTATTATTCTGTGTACCTGCACACAGAAATAACATCACATGAGACCAGAAGGCATAACAGGATGTGCAGAATATCCCCCGTTGAAGAGCATAGATCCAATAGGTACTCTGAGAGAGAACTCTTATCAACATCAAAGGCCTGAGACTGTTCAACACGCTTTAACTACACATAAGGGACATAACTGGCCGACCCCTCATAGTGTTCAAGAGAGAACTCGACAAACACCTCCAAAGGAAACCTGATCAACCAGGCTGTGATTCATATGGCAGACTGCGAGCAACCGCATCCAACAGCCTGGTTAACCAGTTCAGCAATCAGGAGGCCTGGTCGACAACCGGGCTGTGGGGACGCTAAACCCTTAAAACACCTCAAGGGACCTACTGCCCTCACACGGATCCCGCAGTCTCTCTGAGACACAAACCGGGGTTTTACACAATTCCCCCCATGCACCCAAGCTCTGTCATCAAGCTGTTCTATCTCTACGCCCTTACTTCAATACACACAGAAATCACAATAGCGTGATACATCAAATGAACAAATCCACATGGGCCATGATGAGGGTTCGAACCTATGTCTGGGATGATCCCAGACGCACCTTAGTCGATTGTGCCATGGCATGGTATCACGCCACCATGTATCACGCTATTGTGATTTCTGTGTGTATTGAAGTAAGTGTGAAGAGGTAGAACAGCCTGTTGAGAGAGCCCTGGTGCATGGGGAAATTGTGTAAAACCCCAGTTTGTCTCAGAGAGACTGCGAGATCCGTGTGAGGGCAGTACCGCTTCCGGTTGCAATTCTTTTACTATGTCGTGGCTCAATCGATTAAGGCATATCTGGGATCATCTCAGATGTAGGTTCGAATCCTCATCACGGCCATTGTGGATTTGTTCATTTGATGTCTTTTGGCCACTCGACCATGACGACCGTACAAAAGATGATGGTAGCTGAGGATATTTGCACATCATCCCGACGGCACTTTGATGGTAATCTTGGGCATAGTTATTTTATCAAATCACCTCATTTTTAGGGGCCACATGAGCAACACAAATGTGAACAAGCCTGAATGGTCCCCTGGCTTATATGCAACTGAAAACTCCACACCCCAGAAGTGACTCGAACCCATACTGCCAGGAGCACTATGCAACTGGTGTACAGGACACACACACACACACTTACACACACACAAGTGTGTTACACATACAAGTGTAATAGTGAAAGTATTGGAAAAGCTAATCAAAACTAAATGGGTAGAACACCTGGAGAGAAATGATATAATATCAGACAGACAGTATGGTTTTCGATCTGGAAGATCCTGTGTATCGAATTTACTCAGTTTCTATGATCGAGCCACATAGATATTACAGGAAAGAGATGGTTGGGTTGACTGCATCTATCTGGACCTAAAAAAGGCTTTCGACAGAGTTCCACATAAGAGGTTGTTCTGGAAACTGGAAAATATTGGAGGGGTGACAGGTAAGCTTCTATCATGGATGAAAAATTTTCTGACTGATAGAAAAATGAGGGCAGTAATCAGAGGCAATGTATCGGAATGGAGAAATGTCACAAGTGGAGTACCACAGGGTTCAGTTCTTGCACCAGTGATGTTTATTGTGTACATAAATGATCTACCAGTTGGTATACAGAATTATATGAACATGTTTGCTGATGATGCTAAGATAATAGGAAGGATAAGAAATTTAGATGATTGTCATGCCCTTCAAGAAGACCTGGACAAAATAAGTGTATGGAGCACCACCTGGCAAATGGAATTTAATGTTAATAAATGTCATGTGATGGAATGTGGAACAGGAGAACATAGACCCCATACAACCTATATATTATGTGAGAAATCTTTAAAGAATTCTGATAAAGAAAGAGATCTAGGGGTGGTTCTAGATAGAAAACTATCACCTGAGGACCACATAAAGAATATTGTGCAAGGAGCCTATGCGATGCTTTCTAACTTCAGAATTGCATTTAAATACATGGATGGCGATATACTAAAGAAATTGTTCATGACTTTTATTAGGCCAAAGCTAGAATATGCAGTTGTTGTGTGGTGCCCATATCTTAAGAAGCACATCAACAAACTGGAAAAGGTGCAAAGACATGCTACGAAGTGGCTCCCAGAACTGAAGGGCAAGAGCTACGAGGAGAGGTTGGAAGCGTTAAACATGCCAAAACTAGAAGACAGAAGAAAAAGAGGTGATATGATCACTACATACAAAATAGTAACAGGAATTGATAAAATCGACAGGGAAGATTTCCTGAGACCTGGCACTTCAAGAACAAGAGGTCATAGATTTAAACTAGCTAAACACAGATGCCGAAGAAATATAAGAAAATTCACCTTCGCAAATAGAGTGGTAGACGGTTGGAACAAGTTAAGTGAGAAGGTGGTGGAGGCCAAGACCGTCAGTAGTTTCAAAGCGTTATATGACAAAGAGTGCTGGGAAGACGGGACACCACGAGCGTAGCTCTCATCCTGTAACTACACTTAGGTAATTACACTTAGGTAATTACACACACACTGTATATATGTATATATAATAGTATTGGGCATGTTTGTTAAACATGCATATTTATCAAAATACAGCAAAATAATATTTTTTGATAGGAGTTGCAGAATAAACTTAACTAATGGCTTTCTTATTCATTCAAGGTAGTAATGTTGTGGTTTTATGCATTTATATGATATTAAGTCGATGTTTTGCCAGATTACAGAACGGGCCCATGTTTTACAAAAGTTCAACACGACATGTGCCAGGGTCAGCTGCCAGGTGTAGTCTGCACAAAGCAGTTGTGCTGTGCCACCATCGGCAAGGCTTGGGGACATCCCTGTGAACACTGTCCAGAACGACTTGACTGTAATAAGGGATATTTGAAGAATATTCACAGTTTACAGTGTGTTGGTATGTTTTTGAACATTTATAGTACTGTGCTTATTCATAGTTATTGTAAAAGTGATATTATGGCTCATTTCCAAATACTGTACTGTACAGCGGAACCTTGGTATTCAAACTTAATTCATTCCAGAAGATCGTTCGAGTGATAATCTGTTTGAATATTGAATAATTTTTTCCCATATGGAATAATGTAAATTGAATTAATCCATTCCAGACCACAAAAAGTACACATATAAACACAAGAAATAAATAAAATAAATGCAAATTTATTCTCACTTGTACTTTGGAGAATTGATAGTGTATGTGGAAGGTGATGAGGAAGAGGAAAGATGAGATGTTATTGTTTAGCATGTGTTCCCCCTACCATAAGAACATCAGGTAATTCATGACTGGCTTTGAACACTTAACTGTCAGCACTCATTCCAGGTTTTTCCTAATGTGTTCACCATGCAGTTGTTGTGCTTTTTTACAAATGATGACCTCAGATATATTATCACAGGCCAACTGTTTGTTCATTTATCCAAATCAACAACAATTTCTCATCCTCTTCAATTGTCTGATATTTTTGTTTTGTAACTGCTTTCACTCCTTTAGCAACATCAACTGCTTTAATGTCCTCTTTATTTTGAAGTATCATACTGATCATAGATTTAGGCATACCAAACTTTTTAGCAAGAACAGACAGCCGGGCATCACTTTCATATTTTGCTATGAGTTGTTTTTTATCTCTATCTGGTTCTAACTAATTTTCTTTTCATTTGGCTTTTATCACTAACTTTCTTAGGAGCCATGGTGACCTATTTATGTTAAGAAAATATACAAATAGCCAAGAAAACACAAGAAAGTTTACAGAGAGTTTAGTGGGGCTGTGTACTGAACGACAGCTTCTGGGAAACTGATTCATCTGTTATGCAGTACAAATGAGTACTGAATTTGAGTGCCAAACAAACGTTCGACTACCGAGCGTTTTTATTCTCAAATAGTGATCGAGTGCCAGATTGTTCAATTTATTAACTGTTCGAGTGCCGAGGTACCAATGTACTCTACTACATTTGGTTTTCAGAAAAGATATATTGGTATATTAATAATATACTTTACTGCATTATCATTTTAGAATGAACTAGTTTAGAATTAGTGCAGATTTGGCAACATTGACAAGCTAATAAATGTTTTATACTTTACATTAACATTTACCTTTTATGTCATAATTTAATTTCAGACATAGATGAATGTGAGGCCATTCCTGGGCTGTGTGAAGGTGGTCGTTGTATCAACAGTATTGGATCTTTCACATGTGAATGTCCTGAGGGCCAGACCAGGAATCCAGAGACAAATGCCTGTGAAGATCGTAATGAATGTAAAGATACTGATGTATGTCTAAATGGACACTGTGTCAATACTGATGGCAGCTTCTACTGCAGCTGTAACACGGGTTTTATTCCTAGCCAGGATCGTACAAGTTGTATAGGTATAGCATTATGATTTGTCGTCATGATCTGTAAATGCTTTGCTATCTTCTCTCTATCTATACAAGATTTAATGCATGTGGTACGATCTACTCATATACTTGTGTGTGTGTGTGTGTGTGTGTATGTATGTATGTATGTATGTATGTATGTATGTATGTATGTATGTATGTATGTATGTATGTATGTATGTATGTATGTATGTATGTATGTATATATGTGTATATATATATATATATATATATATATATATATATATATATATATATATATATATATATATATATATATATATATATATATATATATATATATATATATATATATATATATATGTATGTATGTATGTATGTTTGTCTTACATATATGTCATTAGCCTCCTTCCTCACCAGATGACTGAACCATCACTTTATTTGTTTTGACATATTCTGCTCCTCCACATGTCTTGCCTTATAATTTTATACCTTCTATATTCAGTACCTGTTTCTCTTTTGTATATTCCTCTCCATTACATAACCTTTGTATTACTCAAATTTTTGCTTTATATTCTATTCAATATTAAAAATGCTGTTCTTTCATTATAACACTCCTTCCTGGAAGTTGACATCACTGCTCCTTTGCCAGTTGACAACCCTACTCCTTTGCCTTTGGCATTCAAAGCTTTCTATAAGACATTCTGATCCATTCTATTATATATATAAACATGTTTATAATCTCTTTACATGTAACCAGAGTGAGCTTAAATATTCTAGTTAATTCTTTGGAAGAACTAGACAGATCGACACTTGAAACATTAACAATCATTCATATTTACCTGAATTTATCTGAGGGCCACTAATACTAGTGGCCTCGATAAGGACAGCAAACCGGCGGCTTGTCAAAGGTGCCCCCAGTTGCCATGATGATCTTTTCAATTTGTATTTTAAAACCCAACATAGTTTTAGCATTTACAGCTTTGATGAATAGGTGGTTCCATGGGTTTATAACCCTATAGGTGAAAAACCCAGCATTGAAGGTAGTGAAATGCCATTTTCTGGGTGAGCCCCGGAGTTTCTCTGGAGCTTATCAGGCTAATATATGTTATATTACACCAGGACATTAGCTATGGAGTTCAGACCTACCAGGGACCATGAACCAGAACCTGGCCCCTTCAGAGAGGTTTCAGGGAGCAATGGTCCTGGAAAACCTCCTTGTGGTTGAGGGATTTCCGTATCTGCCATCAACCGGGGTTAGGCACCCAGAAAAGTAGGCATAACAAAACAAACCCCACATGGTAAGAAACAAACAGCAAAAACTGAACAGAGAGGTAGAACTCCCTACAATCCCAAGGAAACAAGCAAACGTAACACACTATTGCCGCGTTGCTCGTCCGCGCAGCCCTCCCCTCCCCGAGAGTGGGAGGGGGGGGACCTACCTTTCTGGGTGCCTAACCCCGGCTGATGGCAGATAAGGAAAACCTCAACCACAAGGGGGGCTTCCAGGGCCATTGCTCCCTGAAACCTCTCTGAAGGGCCCAAGTTCTGGCTCATGGTCCCTGGTAGGTCTGAACTCCATAGCTAATGTCCCGGTCTAATATAACATACATTAGCCCGATAAGCTCCAGGAAGCCGTAGGGGCTTCCCTCAGAAATCATCTTTTCTCAGTCCTACATTGTGGTGTTATCTTTTGTATGTATTATATGTATTATGTATTATATGTATTATAGTGTACTATTTGTATTATCTTTTTAAATTACAAAGTGGTCAATAACATTATCGCGCTCCCGGCAGAAGGCTCTGTAACTTTCCCCTCATGCACCGAGCATTTCGGTTGACCGCGCGGCGACACTGAAAAGTGTATACTCTTTTTGATCTGCTCACCTTAATTTTGCATGTATGTATTTAAATGTGGTATCAATTTGTTCACAAGAGAATGCTCTAGAGGAATATATATATAAAATTTCACCAAAGCCGACATGAGACCTGCACCAAATAAAAAACTATGGTGATCGTTAGCCTTGAGCGCCAAACAGCGATGAAATGTTTATGCTCTTTTCAGGTTTGTCAACCCCAGAATTGTTCTACATCGTTAATTTTGGTATCACTGTGATCGCAATAAAATTCCATACACAGACATATGAAAATAAAGTCCAAAACATGGGTGTGCCCCACCCACAAGACCGTGGGAAGTTGCCCAAGGGTTACCTGCTACCGCACACCCAACTGCATATCAGCTACACCCCCTACTGAAAAGTTTATACTCTTTTCATGTTTTTGACCGTAATTTTCGATGTACGTGTTTCATTTTGGTATCAATGTGTTCTCAATGAAATGTTCTAGAGGAACATATGTATAACATGTCACTAAAGCTAATGTGATGCTGGCACCAAATAAAAAACTAAGTCGTTTGTTAGCCGTGCAGCGTGAACATGTTGCTACTCTTTTCAGGTTTATCAAGTCAAAACTTGTTCGATATCATTCTTTTTTGTATCACTGTGATTGCAACAAAATTGCCTACACAGACATATGCATATAAATTAGACAACATGGGGCGCATAACCCGCAATGACCCCTAAAGTCGCCAAAGCTTTACCCGGTCGGCCAAGTGCACAACACACTGGACTTGTGATCCTGTGGTCCTGGGTTCGATCCCAGGCGCCGGCGAGAAACAATGGGCAGAGTTTCTTTCACCCTATGCCCCCTGTTACCTAGCAGTAAAATAGGTACCTGGGTGTTAGTCAGCTGTCACGGGCTGCTTCCTGGGGGTGGAGGCCTGGTCGAGGACCAGGCCGCCGGGACACTAACAGCCCCGAAATCATCTCAGGATAACCTCAAGATAACCCGCTAGAGCACACTTAATGCCACACCAGCTACACCCAATACTCCCGACAAGCACAGCTACGTTGTTCATTGTGGTATCAAATTATTCGCAATAAACAGTCCTTAGTTGGTGGTATGGCTCAATATCCAGTTGGAATGTTAAAGGGAGATGTTTTCCAATAGAGATGTAAAGACCTAAGGCCAGATTCACGAAGCAATTACGAAAGTACTTACGAATGTCTACATCTTTCCTCAACCTTTTACAGCTTTGGTTATATTTATTAAACAGTTTACAAACATGAAAACTTCCCATCAACTGTTGTTATTGTTATAAACAGCCTCCTGGTGCTTCGGCGCTCATTAACTGTTTACTAATTGTAAACAAAGCTGCCAAAAAATGAGAGAAGATATACAGGTTCGTAAGTGGTTGTGTAACTGTTTCGTGAATCTGTCTCCTAATGTCCCAGACCACCAAACCTGCTTCCTATATAGCTGGGGACAGCATCAGCTTCAGGCAATCAGTTGTGGCTCCATCAGCCAGGATTAGTTCACCATGGGGTACTTGCAAGCACCTCTTTGTCAATTGATTCTAGACACCATTGTGGGTAAACATATCTGCCTGAAGTTCATATGTATAATGTAATATAGGCTAGAAGCAGGCATGGTTGTAGTGTTTAGTATTTTATTACATATGCTTTTCTCTAGGTCCATGACTGCTACATAAAAATTTCTTTATCATTGCTATGTATGTTTCTGATATTATCATTAATTATCTGATATATATCTATATTTTCACTCAATATTCTAAACCTGTTTGCTCTTAAGTCTTTGTACATTCTCCCAGTTTACTCAGCACCTGAATTATATACTTAGCAGACTAATTCCCTCGGCAACCTACACATTTGTTCTCGAGTTCAGCTTACGTGTCTGTTCTTTTCTTTTCTTAGGTATGATTTATTTAATTTATATTTTCTCCCTACTTTTTGTTCTTCCATTTCCATATGAGAAATACTGTGTGTCCCTTATCCAATCCTCATGAATCCTTCTGATTTTCTCATCATTGATTATACTGATGTATATTAATATGTATATTAACACATGTTAAGAATAATTTTCTGATAAAGTATGATATTTTTGACTCATTAATGTTATTAGAATTGAGTTCAGAGTAATGAAATAAACACAATTATTGATACAAACTAAAATTTATATTGGCCATACAGCATACAAACTGTTATTTACACACTTGTATGTATTATTTTAGCTATAATACATGTTACATAAATGTTTTTCCGTTTAAAGATGCTCGGCAGAGATACTGCTACACAGAGATCAGAGGCACTAATCGTTGCAGGAAACCTCTTCCAATTCCTCTTACTCAGCAAGCCTGCTGTTGCAGTAAGAATATGGGCAAGGCTTGGGGAGAGGGACCTAATGACTGTGCTCCATGCCCAATGCCTGGAGAAGGTAAGTTTGTATGAAGCAAAAATATCTGAGGTTTGATGTATAATTTTATACTGTGCTATATATAAAGTTGGGTAGAAGTTACATGAATATTTAAGAACAATATTTCTCGGACTTGTGGACACCATTTTAAATAGTACAAGGCTGATTTTTTCAGAACTCTATCAAAGGATTTGTCAAGCGACTGCATTCAAGCTTCCCCCTGTAGATGAATGTACAATAAATCAGGGGTTGTGTGGTGAAGGTGGCCGGTGTGTTGACACCACTGAGGGCTACACATGTCAGTGCTATGATGGCTTCACCCATAATGTTGTCACTGACAGATGTGAAGGTAAATTTTCCCTTTCTTCCTCTATGCATCATTACCCACAAGTTTCATAGTTCTTACTTCATTTCACATTTGCAGTTTCTGATTGTATTGAGTGTAACATAAGGATAAATTTATTTTTTGTTTGGAATGTAATACTTTTTAAATATCCATATTACATAGTCTGCTGTCATTACTACTGTGTAGTACTGTTGATTCTTCCTGAATGAATTTGCTTTATTCAAGCATACCAGATATGAAATATATGATGAAAATACTGAACTAAATAGTTTTTCAGAACACTAAATAAAAGATTATTTTGTGAAACATTCATGAGTTTATTGTATTTGCTAAGAAATGGTTTACAAAAATGTTGGCCCTGTCAGATGTGGATGAATGTCGGAGTGGGGCATGTCGTGGAGGTCAGTGCTACAATACTCAGGGGAGCTTCACATGTCGCTGTCCCATTGGCTTTGATATCTCCTCAGATGGGCGATCTTGTATTGGTATGTAATTCATCACAAAAAAAGTTTACACTTTATCTACATCATACAGCAAAGTAGTTTGAATAATCAGATAATGCTTAAGTCAGACAAATGTTTTTACTCTTAATTCTCATGTGAATTATGTTGAATGTCTCATATTTTAAAGCCTGCATGAAATTATCACATCAGTAATCTTCTATTTATATGTACCTCTTAGATCATGATGAATGCAGTGAAACAGGGATGTGTGCTAATGGAATATGCACCAACATGGATGGGTCTTTCAAATGTGTGTGCAACTCTGGTTTCATCCTCTCCTCTTCTGGTTTTGCCTGCATAGGTAAGTTTATTAACTAATCACTATTATGAATATTTTTAAAGAGAAATAAAAACATTGCTAAATTTGTAGTGAGACAGGCTTCATGCACCTATTATTGACCCTGATTAGTATTAAATTTGAATATGTCCAGATGACTGAAGGAATAAAATAAAAATAGCTATTTTAATGTAGTAAGGATTTTAGCATCTAGTAGTAGAAGGGCACAGACAAGATTTTGCAAACTTTATTTATTAAGATTATCAGAAGGCCAAGATACAGGGATCCAGTGTCAAGTGAAGCTCTAGAATGCTGGAGGCATTTGGCAACAATTTGGCTACTGATCCATGCCATGGCATTTGGCATAGATCAGTAGCAATAGATAACATTTCTGCTACTTGGAGGTTTGGTTGTTGATATCAGTGTATCTGGTAATGGGCAAGTAACAAGTCGGTGCCATGACAGTGGGATATTTACTGAGGCAATGATGAGAAGTGATACTGGTGAGATAACATGGACTAATTCAGTTGAAGTGAGAAATACTGACTCCTGCTGCTGAAGAGAAATGTACTTAAAACATAAAAAGATGTTGTTGTTGTGAAATGGTGAAGGTCTTGAGCCTGAAACTGGCAGGAAGAAGTGAACCTAAGGCTTAGTGGAGGTTGTGTGCTTGCGGGGTTGAGCTTCGGCTCTTTGGTCAAAGAGTTTGTTTATTAGCTTCGGTAGCAGTTCTCTGCCAGGTGTTGACTTCTGTCTGTTTATATACAGTATTCAAAAAGTTAGAGTTGCACCTCTCCAATGTATGCAAGGTTGAAAGTCAACCTAACCCAGCACCAGGCAAAATAAAAGTACAGTGGAACCTCTGGTAGCAAACATCCCTCTTTACGAATTTTTCGGGTTACGAACTCAATTTCTTTGGAAAATTTGAATCGAGTTACAACCTATGCCTTGCCATGTGTTTTTGTTCATGCACATATCGGTCGACCAGGCACGTGGTTCCTGGTGGCAAGGGCAGCTGCGTTTCAGTTTACCAGTGCCTCCCGCGTAGTGACGATTGCACTTGAATTCTTTGTAAAGAATTTAATTGCTTTTCTGCTTTTTTTATTTTTGAACATAAAAGTAATTATTATATATCACACCATGGGTTTCAAGAAAATCAGTGGTATGGTTTAACCTAAAAAAACACATGTGAGGATGACCATAGAGGAAAAGCAAGAAATCATTTGTGAACATGAAAATGGTACATGGGTTGTTGAACTAGCTAGGCAGTACAACAAATCTATCTCAAAGATCTTATCTTGAGGTTATCTTGAGATGATTTCGGGGTTTTAGTGTCCCCGCGGCCCGGTCCTCGACCAGGCCTCCACCCCCAGGAAGCAGCCCGTGACAGCTGACTAACACCCAGGTACCTATTTTACTGCTAGGTAACAGGGACATAGGGTGAAAGAAATTCTGCCCATTGTTTCTCGCCGGCACCTGGGATCGAACCCAGGACCACAGGATCACAAGTCCAGCGTGCTGTCCGCTCGGCCGACAGGCTCCCCCACTGTACTTGCTAAGAAAAAGGGCCTTATGAGTGCTAAAGTGACAAAAGGCATATCAACAATCACGAAACAAAGAACACAAACACTTGAGGATGTTGAAGCGTTATTATTAATTTGGATACACAACAAGGAGTAAGCGGGTGATAGCGTTTCAGAGGGCATCATTTGTGAAAAAGCAAAGTTACTGCATGAAGATCTTATAAAGAAAACCCCTGGAACGAGTGATGCAGATACAAAAGAGTTTAAGTTAAGCAGGGAATGATTTGAGAAATTCAGAAATAGTGGCATTCATAATGTAATTATTATTACCTAAGTGTAATTACCTAAGTGTAGTTACAGGATGAGAGCTACGCTCGTGGTGTCCTGTCTTCCCAGCACTCTTTGTCATATAATGCTTTGAAACTACTGACGGTCTTGGCCTCCACCACCTTCTCACCTAACTTGTTCCAACCGTCTACCACTCTGTTTGCGAAAGTGAATTTTCTTATATATCTTCGGCATCCTTGTTTAGTTACTTTCAATCTATGACCTCTTGTTCTTGAAGTTCCAGGTCTCTGGAAATCTTCCCTATCAATTTTATCAATTCCTGTTACTATTTTGCATGTAGTGATCATATCGCCTCTTTTTCTTCCATATTCTAGTTTTGGTATATTGAATGCCTCTAACCTCTCCTCAGAGCTCTTGTCCTTTAGTTCTGGGAGCCACTTAGTGGCATGTCTTTGCACCTTTTCTAATTTGTTGATGTGCTTCTTTAGATATGGGCACCATACAACTGCTGCATATTCTAGCTTTGGTCTAACAAAGGTCGTGAATTTTTTTTTAGTATTTTGCCATCCATGTATTTAAAAGCAATTCAGAAGTTAGAAAGTGTAGCATAGGCCCCCCTCACATAATATTCTTTATGTGATCTTCAGGTGATAGTTTTCTATCTAGAACCACCCCTAGATCTCTTTCTTTATCAGAATTCTTTAAAGATTTCTCACATAATTTATAGGTTGTGTGGGGGTCTATGTTCTCCTATTCCACATTCCATAACATCACTCTTATTTACATAAAATTCCATTTGGCAAGTGGTGCTCCATATACTATTCTGTTAAGGTCTTCTTGAAGGGCATGACAATCATCTAAGTTACTTATCTTCCCTACCATCTTAGCATCATGAGCAAACATGTTCATATAATTCTGTATTCCATCTGCTAGATCGTTTATGTAGACAATGAACATTACTGGTGCATGAACTGAACCCTGCGGTACTCCGCTTGTGACATTTCTGCAGTCCGATACACTTCCTCTTATTACTGCCCTAATTTTTCTATCAGTCAGAACATTTTTCATCCATGTTAGAAGCTTACTAGTCACCCCTCCAATGTGTTCCAGTTTTCAGAACAACCTCTTATGTGGAACTCTGTTGGAAGCCTTTGAATATTGCTGCCAAAAAAAAAGAAAGAAAACTAATCAGCCACTGAAATACGATAAGTAAAATGATCTTCGCAGCAACTGTCGGCCTGGAATAGACTGCTGCGGGGTGACTGCTTTATCATCCATTATAAATTTGTCAGTATTTCTCCCTCCATCTCTGCCAAAGTATTCCACATACAATTTTTTTTATTTTTTTGTGATCAGGGAATGCATTTTAACAATATTATGACAATTTTTTGGGGGAAATTAATATTTACTTATGCACCATGGCATTGTTAGAAGTAATTAGTGCACAGCCTGAAGGTTAATTAAACTCTAAAGGATAAATTTGTAAGTTGCTTTTATATTTCATTTTCATTTTCAGATATTGATGAATGTGAGGAGAACCCGCTTATCTGCTTGTCTGGTCGATGCGAAAACCTTGAAGGGTCATATCGTTGCATTTGTAATGATGGCTATACTCATGCCACTGATGGAAGTTTTTGCACTGATGTTGATGAATGCGGTGAGACAGGAATGTGTGAACACGGTTCCTGTGTCAATGTAGATGGCTCCTTTAAATGTGTGTGTCAGCCTGGATATACCTTGGCTCCCAGTGGCAAAACATGTATTGGTATGTCTTGACTTTTTGTTACTGTATTGTTTGTATTACAGTACAACATAAATTCATTACTAACAGTATCTTTGGATAAAATATATCAGTAAGAGAGGTATTATAAACAGAGAATAAGTCATGATAATATGGATGAGTATTAGATGTCCTCCCCACAAATATGAAAAGAAAGTGATTATGATTTGGTCTGTCTTGAACCCCTTTAAAGTACAGGATGGATCAAAATGTCATCACTTTCCTTTCTTTTCATAAATGTGGGTTGGGTGTTATTATTGTAACTAATAGAATGTAATCATCTTGTTTGAATATGTTGTATTTACCAGCTCTGCATATCATAAAAATTTTGACTTAATAACTTTGTTTTAATGATTAGTTCAGCTGTAGTTTATGTACTAATTAGAGATTAATTGTCAAAGATCTGGACGAGTGTGCCTCAGGACCATGTAAGAATGGTCGCTGCATCAACACTGACGGCAGCTTCCAGTGTGAGTGCCCACCAGGTTTCACTTTAGGTGTTAATGGTGTCACTTGTCTAGGTAAGTTCCCATTTTAATATTCTATAACATTCCTTTGTTTAATTGATGTTAATTGTAAAAATTGAAATGTTCATATGCACTTATCATTTATTTTTTAAATATCTGATTTTGTTTTATTGAGCTGGTGTTATTCAGTTAGGGGTTTTTCAAGCAATTTTAAAGTAAAAATTTCTTGCAATGTTGCAGACACAAAATTGGACTTCTGTTATGCTGTGTATCGTGATGGACAGTGCTCCAACCCATCAACCACACCCACCACTAAGTCAGCCTGTTGCTGCTGCACTGTGATTCTTGGCCAGCCTATGGGCTGGGGAACACCCTGCCAGTCGTGTCCTCAGACAGGCACTCAGGAGTTTCTATCACTCTGTCCACATGGAACAGGCATCACTCATGAAGGCCATGGTAACATTTAAATTCATCATCAGTAAAAATTAAAATTGTCAGGTATAATACAGCAATGACATATTTTAAAATATTTCATTAAGGACTTATGGTACTTTAATATAATAGTTTTTATGGAATTAAAATCCAGTTATAGTACTATGTCCTGCCATCTGTTAAACTTTTGCATCCCCCAGAACTGGCCTTGAAGTCCTCAGTGCCTATAGTTAGTGCCATTTTTTCAGCTACACAAAGTTACTGTATACCATCAACAGCCGGTCATAGTCTTCAGTGTTGCATATATCACTGGTAAACAGAATCATGAAAATTCTCAAGCTCACCATTTAGTTCACAAATTATGAGATGCTATCTACTTTTTTTTATGTCAGAAACTGCACTAATACCAATGCCATACTCATTTGCTAGCTGATTCCCTTCTCAGCTTCAACCACATTTCTCTAATATCTTGATCTTATCCAAGGCAAGGAAGTTCCTCTTATCATAGTCTGATGTACCCATACTTCTTTTGCTACATGACATGGATTCAAGTCAGTGAAAATGCTTGAGTAATAAAGTTAGGCACACTCGCCCATGAAGAATGACAGTCATTATGCTTCCCTCTCACAGATCTGAATGTCTCAAAAAATTTTTATATAAACAAAAACAAACTTGCTTGTACAACATTTAGTGTAGTGCAAGCTTAGAAAAACATTTATAAAATGTAAATGCATTATTATGAATAAAATTTACAAATAAATAAGCAAGAATTTAAGGAATAGGGCACTTTATATGATGAACTGGCAATCCAGATTTAATTGCAGTTGTCTCAGAAATTCAGATATTTTCTTAAAAGATCCAAAATTCAAAGAAAAAAGCCAGTAAGTATATTTGATATGTTATTTAGGGGGGCTCCATTATATAGACGTCCAAATCTTTGTGGAAGCATTGCATATACATTTGGACCATTTGTTCATTTGGGCCATCTGGTGGCCAGCGAGCGATGCTAATTAGCAGTTTGACCTAGACAGTATGTGTACATAGTTTACATGAGAGTTGCAAAAGTTGTCCAGTCAGTTGCTTGTTTTTGTGCAGTCTACTTTTCTAATGGAGTTTCTTTTGGTACTGTGGTGATCTTGTATCCCACAGACCTTCCTATTGGGAAAGGGTGGCACATTCTGGTCCTAGCTTGGATTCTGACACTCTTGTCCACCCCACTCTTTTCTTCCCTCCTGTTCCTGAAGGTTGAGGTTTCCCGACTGCTTGCAGCGAACAAAATCTGGTCCACAATTAAATTGGATGCAATGGGAGGATTTCAATCCAATTATTACCCACTGTTGTAGTTTAGGATATCTAGGGAGGATTTCAAACCAATTATTATGCACTGCAGTAGTTTAGGTGTTCAGCTAATGAAGATAATCCCACAATGTGGATTTTTGGTGCAAATAAACGTTTTTAAACTTTGATTAAATTTCCTGGGGGAGACCCTTGTGGCTCACTGAAGCTATCATGCTTGACCATCTACTAGGTCACATCAGCCAAGGAGTTCTATAGGCCTACCTGGGACCAACACCATAACCTGGCTCACTCAAAGAGGTGCAGGGGTGCGGTGTCATTTATTTTCGCCACTTCACTGGGAAAGTCAATCAGAAAGTCAGGAGTCAAAACAAGCCACTGGTGGCTTCAAAGAGGCTGATGCCTCAAAACCAGCCTAGAGAATTTCCTCAACTATGTAAGCAAATGTTTGAAGTTCCTTGAAATTATCATGAGCTTGTTTGCCCCACCTTCCCCGCTTATTTGAGGGGGCGAGGGGAAGGTACCTTGCTGTCAGCTGGTGTCTCAACCCCAGTTCTATAGATGATATTGTTGATTTATTTTATTTTTATTATTTATTTATTTATATATACAATACAAGAGTTCTTACATTCTTGTACAGCTGCTAGTATGCATAGCATTTCAGGCAAGTCCTTAATCCTATGTTCCCTGGAATACAATCCCGCAAAAAATCGTTTAACAACCAGGTACCCATTTTACTGTTGAGTTAAACAGAGGCTACAGTTAAGGATTTGCGCCTAGTAAAACCTCCCCAGCCACGATACGAACCCAAGACAAAGCGCTCGAGAAACGCCAGGCGAGCGTCCTAATTAATAATTGTAAACAAAGCCGCCAAAGATTGAGAAAAGATGTACAGGTTCGTAAGTGCTTGCGGAACTTCTTCGTGAATCTGACCTGTTTTGCAGCTAAGTGGTAGTGTTTGCCCTTAGTAACATTTTATGTACACTGCAGTGCAGCATTAGCAAAGCTTTTAGGGTGCTTGGAGTTGCATGTGCACAGGGTTGCCTTCAGTGTGTGCTCCCTATCATTGCCAGGGTTATCTTCCCTAGACTATTCGGGAGCCACTTCCTTAGAGGTCTTCCTTACTAGTGGTGGCCATTGCTTAGGCGCATCATGTGCCACCGCTTCTTCCATGGTGGATGCTTTGTGTGTGGATCCTATTACCTTGGGCCCCCCTATTCCAAGGCTCGTCCTTTTCAGATTATCTGAAGCGTTATTAACACTTTCGCGCTCTCCGCAAAGGTCACTCAGCCAACCGAATGTGCGCGCTGCGTTTTTATCGCTTAAGCGTAAAAACAAAAATGTGTATACTCTTTTTACTCTTCTGACCTTAGTTCTCATGCTACGTATTTCATTTTGGTACCAACGTGTTCGCAATAAAATTCTCTAGAAGAACATCAGTACAAAAAGTCACGAAACGTATAGGGATACCAGCACCAAATAAATAACTACGAAGATGACTCGCCGTGAGCGCCCATCAGCAACAAAATGTTTTTACTCTTGGGATTGTAATCACCTCCACACTTATTCTACAGCGTTAATTTTGGTATCAATGGACTCGCAATGAAATTCCCAACACGGTGATATGAATATAAGCGTAGAATAATGATGCGGCCCGCCCGCAAGAGTGTGGGAAGTGGTGAAATTGTTACCCGGTATCGGTGACGGGACGACGCACGGCGCTTTGAAAGTTTATACTTATTTCACTCTCATGACATTAATTTTCTATGTACGTCATTCATTTTTGTGTCAATGTGTTCGCAATAGAATGTTCTATGTGCCCATAGGTAAAAAATATCAACAAAGCGTAAGTTAGAATAGCGCCAAATATAAAACAACGCTGGAACATATCAGTGAGCGTCAAACACACACGAAATGTTTTTACTTTTGTTATGTTTGTCAAGTTTATACTTGTTGCACACAGTTATTTTTGGTTGTATATTGATCGGAATAAAATTCCCTAAACAGACATATGCATATAATACAGGATATCATTACCAGTATAAACGGCTAAAGTCACCCACCTGCAACCCGTTTGGGACAAAATACCATTTGATCGAAGTTATCCACATCTTTCATGAACTTATTGTACCATGCAGCCTAGTGGTGAGAAAGAGAGCCTCATAGCGCGCAGTTTGAAACAAACCCAAAGTAAATCGGATAAAAATTGAATTTTATACAAATATTTTAAAAGAGGACTCAACTTTATGTCCACTATGCGTTAGCGTTAGACGAAACAGGACGCGCCGGCTGAATATGTTCTGGACTGATATTTGGGTGCAGGGGTTTTGGAGGTCTAACAGGGCTGGCAATCCAGTACCTAGTTCCTGGGCCTCAGCACCCTTGTGTGGCTTTGGGTAGTGTCTCTTGGCTGAGGGTCTAATCTTTTGTCATGATTCCTGCAGTGGTTCCTCCTTCCTGGTGAGTTCCCATTTGTTTCCTTCTCTGTGGGTAGTTAGCTTCAGGAAGCTACAAGGGGCTTGCTCCAGAAAGCCAGCATTGAATGTAATGAAATGCCAATTTCTGGGGGAAACTCGGTGGCTCCTTGATCTCCCTCTCTTCCAGGTCATCGGATGGTTGTCTACATCTGCTCTACAACTGTGGCTGAGGTGCTGGCTGACAGTGAGGCTCCTCCCACTCTCCTCAAATGAGTGGGGAAGGTGGGGTGAACAAGAGACTTCGATCATTTTTGTACATAGTTGGGGGAGTTCTCTAGGCGGGTTTTGAAACTTCAGTCTCCTTTGAAGTCAGCAGTGGTTTGTTTTGATTGACTCTCTGGTTACCTTTCCTTGTGAGGTGGCAAAAATAAATGTCACTGCCCCCTGCACCTATCTGACTGGGCCAGAGTTTTAGCCCATTCAGAAAAGGCTAGTCCCGGTAGGCCTTTAGAAATGCGTGACCGATGTGACCTAGTACATAGTACCATATCAGCAGAGGAGATTTTTAACAGTTCTGACAAGTAATAGTAGTAGAAATAACAATATAGGTCTGCTAAAAATAACAGCAGCAATAATAATCAGTATTAAGTGTTATTATAGTTGTATTAATTTCTGACTAATTATTATTCACACCAAACATTTTACCAATCTCTTGTAGATATCAACGAGTGTGCGTTGAACCCAACCATTTGTCGAAATGGTGCCTGTGAGAACTTGGAAGGAGGATATCGCTGCATTTGTAATCCAGGATACATGGTGGACGACAGTGGTCGCCTCTGTCACGACATCAACGAATGTGCCATTGACAATTTGCTGTGCGATGGTGGCCAGGTAATTATAATACACATTTACGATTCTCATTTTAGGGAATTTTTTAGTGCAAATTTTATGATTTAGTATTGTATTCTTGATTTTACTGATAAATAGAATTCATAATTTATATTCAGTGAGTCTTAGAAATTTGTCATTTGATCTGAAATGTTATTTGGTTTGTAAAGGCCAGAGGAATGTGACTGTAATAATGACAATATTTAAAAAAAAAAATTCTCCAACTAATAGGTCTAATGTGCAAAATATAGTTTCTACATATTTACCTGAATTTACCTGAGGGCCAACAATAGGTTAGTGGCCTCGAGGAGGACAGGAAGTTGGTGGGTTGTCAAGGGTCACCCAATTTGTTCTAATGATTTTTTTCAAGCTGGATTTTAAAGTTTAACAGAGTTTTGGCATTAATGGCTTAGGTGGGTAGGCAGTTTCATGGGTTTATAACCCTATGGATGAAAAGCATTTCCTGTTTTCAGTCCTACATTGTGGCTTCTTGAACTTGAAACCACTACTCCTTGTTTGTCTTGCTTTTGACTTCTCCAAAGAAGCTGTCTTTCTGAATTTGAGGTCCAAAATGTCCAGATGCATAGAGTGGAGGTGGTCAAATCAGTGAAGTTATCACTAGCTTAATTCTATAATAGAGATAGAGCCATGGAAAAATACCTGGGATCAGACACTGAGCAAGCAGCATCTGAAACCAAGGCTGAGCCATCCGTGAGCCAAAATGATCACCCTCCCCGTGTAGGACTTCAATTGCCCCAGGAGCAACAGTCAGATTGGGGTAAAGAGGTACAGGAACCCCTCACCTTGACCAATCCAGCCCAAAGGCATCTCCCGCAAGGGCCTCACAATTGGGGAATGGTGCCGCATACAGAGGAAGCCACCAAGACCATGCCGATGTAGACCTCATCATTTTGGGCATCTGGATGTGGGGCATCCAGGTACCCAAATTCCCTGCAAAGCCAGAGGAAGGAGGTGGCATTGAAGGTCCATTCTGTGGAGGCAAGAAAGAACTGGGACAGACCATTGGTGAGGACATTGGACATTCCCTGAACATGAATGGCAAAGAGAACCAAACCCAGAGAATCCAGCAGATGAGCTACACTCAGAGTCCAGCTACAAAGAGGCAAGGACCGTAGCAAAGCCCCTAGTTGAGACAATGAACTTTGGGAGAACAGTCCGAATAAAGTGGCATTACAGAGCCTAGAGGAATTTGAACTCTCCACATCGCATACCACATGGCCACAAACTCCAGAACAATACTCTGCATCTGACAAAGAAGAGGAGAAGGCTAGCCAGTGAGTGTTGGTCACAAAACCCCAACCAAGAGCTGAGGCATCCATGAACACTTCAAGTGAGTGTGGAAAAAAGGTAGCAGAAGCCTGAACCCCGAAAAGCCAGAGGAGGAAGCCAATGGCGCAGTAACCAGTGAAAAACCACCGGAATCCACAATAGTACTGTATATAATAATACAGTAATGACAAAGTTTTCTCTAGTTCAAATGATTTGGGACTTTGCTCATAAGAAACTACAAGTTTCATTTTAATACTACTATATATAAAATATAAATACATTCTTGTAAATATGGTTTATATTACAGTGTCGTAATACGCCAGGGAGCTACCAGTGTATCTGTCCATCTGGAACACAGCTCAATCCCAGCACACATGTGTGTGAAGATGTTGATGAATGCAACGAGCTTGGGGAGGATGCCTGTGTAGGTGGCACTTGTGTCAATGTCATCGGCTCGTATAGGTGTGAGTGTGAAGAAGGAACAATTCTCGACTCGACTGGCAGGTATTGCATTGGTAAGATACTATATCCTCTAACTGCTAATTTAAATAACAAGTTGGGCCTATGAGGTTGCTACTAACACAGCTGCTATTTATTACCACCCATGGGCCAATAAGCTTTGTGCTGTTCCTTTATTATGATGTTCAAATGACTGGTTGATTTGATATACAGTACTTCATTATAGCCATATGAACATAGTATACACATTATGTAACTTATAATTGAATTTTATACATGATGATTATCGCATTGGCATAGTATCATTTGTGACAATTACTGCAGTTGCATGTACTGTGATATATTTATATAATAAAATATGTGAACCATTGCTATACTCAAAAAGTATGGTGTGTATATTAATGATTCAATTATTATGGTCATAAAACGACAAACAAATGGTTTTGCTATTATTATACTATATACACACGTTATATATAAGTATCTGCACGTTTTGTTTACCATAACAAACCACTAAGTTTGTATGGTGAGTACAAACAACAAGAGTGGCCGCCACACACCAGCCAGCAGACGCCACCTCCTTCACCAAAATCTCCCTCGCCAACATTCCTCTTCCCACCACACTGTTTTTGCTTTTATTACACTATATACAGATGTTATATATAAGTATCTACATGTTTTGTTCACCATAACTGTACAACTAAGCTGGTATGGTGTCCAAACAACATTGTGAAAACACAAATGTGCATGACAAGTCACACAGCAGCTAGCAGACGACAGCACGTCACCCCCTCCCTCACCAAAATGGCTCCTCCTAGCATACTTTGTTCTGTTTTTACACTATATACACACATTATATATAAGTATCTACATTTATGTTCACCATAGTGAACCACTAAGTTGGTATGGTGAGTCCAGACAAAAACAGGTTGCCAAACAGAGTCAGCAGACGATGCTGCCTCCCTCCCTCACGTAGATTACTCCTCCCACCATACTCTTTGTGGTGTTATTACACTATTACTGTATACACGTTTCATATATATAAGTACAGTATCTGAATGTTTTGTTCACCATAACAAACCACTAAGTTGGTATAGTGAGTTCAGACAATAACATAGGTCGCCACACAGTCAGCTGATGCTCCCTCCCTCCCTTAACAAGATTACTCCTTTCACCATACTCTGCACAGTGCTAATTATCACCACAATCCTGCTATTATCAGAATCCTGGTAATTTCTGTGGGGAGCCCCTACGGCTCCCTAGAGCTTATCGGGCTAATGTATGTTATATTAGACTGGGACATTAGCTAAGGAGTTCAGACCTACCAGGGACCAGCGCCAGAACCTGGCCCCTTCAGAAAGGTTTCAGGGAGCAATGGCCCTGGAAAACCCCCCTTGTGGTTGGGGTTTTCCTTATCTGCCATCGACCGGGGTTAGGCACCCCAGAAAGGTAGGCATAACAAAACAATCCCCACGTGGTAAAAAACTAAAACAAAAAATCGAACAGAGAGGTAGAAACTCCCTACAATCCCAAGGAAACAAGCAAACGAGCAAACATCACACTTTACTGCCACGCCGATCGTCCGCGCAGCCCTCCCCACCCCAAGAGGGGGAGGGGGGGAGCCCCGGACCTACCGCGCCGGCTGCCTAGCTTCAGTTCGTAACCTAATGTCAACTGGGATAGACGCTTCTCTGGCCTCAGTTTCCTAGGCGGTGTTTGCCTTGTGTGGTGTTCACTGCCATGTGCTGTGTTGTGCAGTGGCCAGGAGTACCTCATCAGTGCCGGGGCTTCATGCGCTTATGGCTTCCTTCCCTAAGTGCCCTGTGAATACTGCCCTTGCGTGACAGGGTTATCTTCTCCTGGGGCGTTCGGGAACCATTCCCATAAAGGTTCTTGCTGCTCGGCATTTGCCTCGCCCTTGGGGCCAGCTGGGGCTTGGGGCCCTTGTTTGGCCCTGGGTAGGGACTGGTATTGTGCTGGTTAGGGTGTCAAGGTGTTGCGCGACCTGCCATCTAAGCGGCGACCGGTTCCTGTTGCCTCTGGAGACGGTGTACTTTTGCAGGGTTTTTCTTTTGTTCTTATTTTTATTTGCCTGGTGGGGGTCTGCCTAGTGTGGCTATAGTTCCACTGGTAGTGTTAGGTGGCCCTCTGCTAGGCCCCTGTGATTGTACACGTCGCAGGGGTTTTCAGTGCTATCCTCAACCCTCTTGTTATTTTTGGGTTTCTTAACCAGTTAGCAACACCTTGCCCGGGCTTCCCGTAGCAGTCAGCCTACGGGCCCTGGAAACCCCTGTCTGGGCTCGGTGGACCATTGAATGTGTCTTCCGGGTTCCAACCCGTCTTGTACGGGATCGTTGGTTGCTGTACCTTTGTTCCGGGTGGCAGTCGCCACTTTTACCTCCGTCATGCTGCCTGTTGGGTCACTGACACCTTGACTCGGAGTCTTGCGAGAGTGATTCTCTGCTTATTCTCCAGTACTTCCTGATGTTATTACAGTTCAGAGTACAGGCAGCATCCGTGTTACAAGCTAGGTTAGGTTGCTGCAACACGCTAGGTTGGTTTCCCACTCAGATGCCCAGGGGCCGCCCCGTTTTGGTTAGGTGCTGTTCGCCCCTTTCCCTCCCTGTTCCCGGCTCCGGACCATCTGCGGGTTTCAGGGTCGGGGCGGGGTTTAGTTGGGGCCGAGACTCGAGCGGTTTTCGGGGGCTGCCCCGTTCGGGTTGGGGACGGAGGTTTTCGAGCATGTTCCTCCTGCCAAGGCTTCTGGGTCTTACCAGCGGCCCTTTCTTGCTGCCTTTCCATGGACTCTTCCTTTTCTTTAAAGGTGGAGGGCTTGGAGGACGTCTCTGCTCCGGGGCCTCTGTTGTTGGTTTCCGGGGCTGTGGGGGATGCCTGCTAGCAGTTCTAGGGAGGTTTGCCCCTGCCTGGGTTTTCTGCTTTTGGGCGGAGTTTTTTGCCCATCCAATCTGCTTGCTTCCCACTTTTGCTGGCGTGTTTTCGTATCTTTTGCGTCGGTCACAGCCCTCTGTTCTGGTGGCCATTTTCTTCTGCCGATTTCCCGGCGTGGCCACCAGGGCAGCGTTGCGGTTTGTTTACATGCGCCTGGGTGTGCGAGTGAGTGTCTTGGGTGAGTTTTCACCTTGTTTCAGGGGTTTTATTCTCCTGTTGTCGTTTCTTTGCTTTTCTGGTGTTTTCTGCCCGTTTCCTGTTCCTCTGGAATGTTTGAGTGTTGATTTACACCGGGTTTTCCATTTTGTCTGTTTTGGGTCTGGGCCCTTGGGTTTGGGCTCAGTGTCCCTGGTTGTTGCTTGCTTCCACACCTTGTCCCTCGGTTTCCCTGGGGGTTCTGTCTGGGGGCTGTGCTTTGCCTTTCTGTGGTGTATCTCCGCCGGCAAATGTGGTGGTTTGGGCTCCCCCTGGTTCGATTCCGGGTTCCTTTGGGTTCTTTGGTTTCGTTCTGGAGGTTTCTTCCTCTTGGGCCCCCTTTGTGGGTTCAGGGGGCTTTGTTTCCTCGTGTGTGACTCGGTACTTCCTTCTGGAGTTCTGGGGTCTTCCTGGCTTGCAGACTGATCTTTTTGGGTCTTGGCACATGTTGTGGTCGTGCTGGGACTTTGAGGTTTTGTTGTCGAGGTGGGCCTTTTGATGCAGTTTTGTGCCTTCTTCACCTGGCCGGCATGGTGCTCTCTGCCCACTGGTTGGTGGCTTGTAATTTTCTTTTCACATGTATGTGTGTGTACACATGTACATGTGTACACTGTGTGTGTGTGTGTGTGTGTGCGCACATGTGTGCACATTTTCAGTTCTAATATAACATACATTAGCCTGATAAGCTCCAGGGAGTCTCCGTGGCTCCCCACTGGAAACATTATAAATGACAAGAAACATTAGAATTTTTCCCTAGATTTTCAGGATGAACCACTTTTCCAGACACAACAGGTTATTTATTTAGTCTGTCTCAAGGCATCTGGAAAGTATGTTGCCCTCTGTGAAATTGCTCTCTGACAGAATACTGGAAAATCAAGAAGTGTAAATGTTCTTGGTTATGAGGTGGGGCTTTAGAGCTAGATCTTGCTCCTTGTATACAGAGCTAGGTAAGCACACCACCACACCAAAACATCACATACAGTAGTAAATTGCCACCACAGCAATATATCGAATCCACAACACCAGTACTGCATCACACTACAGTACTATAAATTTAGTTTGGTAATGTACTGGCTGGCATTTTTTTGCATAAAATAAAATTGTCGAAGTGTAGTGTATTAAATCCCACAGCACAGCACAGAACTAGTAGTATATTGTTCTCACAAAGATCATTTTACTGTATATGTCTTTCATATTATTTACAAAACTATAATGTACCTATTGCATTCTTTTCTATTGTTAGACTAGATGACTAGTCAAACATGATATACTTGTTATGCATCATTTATGTTGGTTGGTTTTCAGTTATTGTTAGCTAGAACTGCACTGTAAAGCTTTTGTCTAATTAAGTATTTCCTAAATTTTCTTGCCAGTAAATTTTGTTTGTTTTGTCTTGTGGTGATCCATTATACCTCATTATGACTTTGGCCACTTACCCTTGTGGATTTCCAGACAACCGACGTGGGTCATGTTGGACTAAGGTAAAGGATGGACACTGTGAAAACAATCTACCCAAGTTGACTCTCAAATCAGAATGTTGCTGTACTATTGGAAAAGCTTGGGGTTCCCCATGTGAGATCTGCAACCTTGGTGACTGTGACTGTCCTATTGGTTTTGCAAAGGTTTGTTTTAATGTTTCACAATATTATGTTCAAATAGTTTTGTAAAAATTATCAGTGGAGCCACATTTCAAAGACTTAATTCTATCAAATCAAGATTTCTATTAAATCAAGGTATATTTCCATTCACTATTTATCACAATATTTTAGGGGTATTTCATACCACAAATGAGAAAATGTCTCCCTCTAGACATATTTACACTAAACCAAGAGCACCTCCTACCCAAAAAGGCAAAAGAACAAGAGCAGGCAAGAATATTATTGTACATAAGGGGACTTGACAGCACCAGTAATTTATATTTATATTGTTTTTAATTTAAAACCTTTCATTTATTTTTAATTTGAAACACAAGCTACAATGGGGTCACATAACAATACTGGTATGGATTTCCACCCTTGCAAATCCACTAACGTGCATAGAGTTTTGGGAGGACTTATATAACATAGCTTGCCCAGAATCGGAGCTTAGAATGCAAACAAATTGATAGTATGGTTATGTTACACAACAGACACATCAACGACAAGCTTTTATAAAAATAAAGGATTTTGGCAATAAGAGAATGTTAAATCTATCATTATGAACAGGAGAACAACTTAGTGACCTTGTAAAGGAGAAACTTATCCATACATGTGGATTTTATATATACACATATCTATTTATGTTTATAATTTTTTTCTGTGGGGAGACCCTTCGGCTCCCTGGAGCTGTAGAGCTATAAGATTGACATGTGCTATATTAGTCTGGGGCTTCAGTCAGTGGAGTCCTGCCTACTGGGGACCAGAGCCGGTACCTGCCCCCTTCAGAGAGGCACGGGGAGCAATGGCCTAAGGAGACTTCCTTGTATTTTGGGGTATTTCTTGTCTGCTATTAACCGGGGGGTAGGCATCCAGAAAGGTAGTATCTCAAAACAAACCCCACATGGTTGAAAATGCAAAAATCCAAGACCGAACAGAAATTGAACTCCCAAAAGAAAAGCAAAGGAAACAAGCAAACAAGCAATCATCATTCACCACCACGGTGCCACTTGTCTGCACAGCCCTCCCCTCCCCTCCCCATAAGGGGAAGGGGGTAGCCCCAGACCCACGCGCTGGCTCCAGACACCTCAGTTTGTGGCTGAAGCACTCTGAGGTGGTTGTTGATTCTGGCCTTAGATTCTTGCTAGATTTTGTGCCCTTGTGGTGTTTCCTGCTGTTTGTGGCATAGTGGCTAGGAGTATTATAGTGTACTGAGGGCTGCATGCACTTAGGGCTACCTTCCCTAAGCGCCCTGTGAATACTACCCTTGGGTTCTAGGATTCCCTTCCCTAGGGCTTTGTGGCTTCACTTACGTAGGGGTTGCTGCTGCTGGGCAGTTGCTCTGCCCTTGGGGGCCAGCTGGGGTTTAGTGGCCTTTATTTGGCCTTAGGAAGTAGTGTTGTTCCTGGTTTGGAGCGCGAGGTGCTGCACAGCATACCACCAACACAGCGACTGTGTTCCCTGTTCCTCCTGTTGTGCTTTTGTGGGGGTTCAAGGGGGCTTTGTTTCCTTGTGTGGGACCCGGTTCTGCCTTCTGGAGTTCCGGGGTCTTCCTGGCTTGCAGACTGATCTTTTTGGGTCTTGGCACGTGTTGTGGTTGTGCTGGGACTTTGAGGTTTTGTTGTCGAGGTGGGCCTTTTGATGCAGTTTTAGGCCTTCTTCGCCTGGCCGGCGTGGTGCTCTCTGCCCACTGGTCGGCAGCTTGTAATTTTCTTTTCACGTGTGTGTGTGTACACATGTACATGTGTACACTGTGTGTGTGCACATGTGTATGTGCATACACACATGTGTGTAACATACCTTGTGTGTATGTGTATATGCATGATGTGTATATATGTGTATGTATACTTTTTCTTTCGGAAGGGGCTCTGTTCCCTTCTCTGTTGATGGGGCGCTGGGGGAGCAGCTTGCTCTGTTGACTCTCGCATGGTCCCACAGTTAGTGGGCACTTTTGGTTGTCTTCCGACCTCTGGTGGCGGCGGTGGATGGCTTCTCCCCCTTTGGGGGGTTCAGGGCTGGCAGGGTGGGCTTCTTCCCCTGCGCTTCTTCATGTCATCTTAGAGGGTGCGTTGGACTTTGTCGTTCTGCCCCATTCTTCTGGGGTTCCCGTCTGTTCTTTGCAGACATGGGCCTGTCAAATCTGCGGTTCTTCTGGACTTCTTCAGTCTGCGCCCTGGATTCTATGCCGTCATCGGAGGATTGTTGTCTCCTGTCCGGCTTCTGTTGGGGCCGGGTGCCTGGATGGTGGCCCTGGACCTCCAGGTCAATTCTTGGCACGTTCCTCTCCAGTTTTCAGGGACTGGCACAGTTGGTGGTGGGGCTTCAGGCTTGCCGCTTTTGTTGCCTTCCCTATTTTGTAATTGGCACTTGGTGTATTTTTGCATCTTTACCGGATCTTGGTGCCCTGTCTGAGTCTGCTTGGGATTCGGTGTCCGGCCTACCTCAACGACTGGCTGGTGTGGGCTCCCAGTCGGTCCACTTGTCTGCTCGCCAGGGGTGTGGTTCTTTCCAGATCGCCGGGTTTGGTTTCCTGGTGATCTGGAGGCCATTCCATCTGTTTCCGTCCCAGGTTTGGACCTATCTGGACTTTGTTTAGAGCTCTTGGGCCGCTCCTTGTCTTTCCCTCCAGAAGTGTTGCTGCGGCTGTGGTCCCGCCTTCGGCTGTTCACAAGGGGGTCCCGGGTTGCTCAGTGGTTGCTCGAGCAGTTGTGCGGGAGTCTGAACTTTGACGTGCTGGTCTGCCCGCGGGGTCGGGTATGGCTTCGGCGTCTGTTTGGTTCCTTCGGACTCTCCCCTTCTGCCTCTCTTGCAATCGTTGGGTTCGTTCCTCTGGGGATCTTGTGTTGGTGCTGCGTCACCAGCTTCCTCTTTGGGGTTTTCGGGGTTCCGTGCCTTGGCCCCTCCCTGAACCTTCGCTCGATGTATTCATGGACGGGTCATCTCTCAGCTGGGGCTTTGTGACCAGTGCTCACTAGGTCGGCCAGGGATGGTGGGGTCTGTCCGTCCGTTGGGCTCACAGCACGGGTCGGGAGTTCGTGGCTGTCTGGTTTGCGCTTCGGAGGGTTTGGGTCACTCGGTGCTCTACCATTCAGCTCCATTCGGACTGTTCTCTGGGGGTTTGTTTCCGGAACCACAGGGCTTTCTCTTATGTGTTGACCTTTGGGGTTGGTTCCATAGAGTGGCTCGTTGCTGGATTCTTGGGGTTTGGCTAACCGTGAGGTTCATGTCCGGGGTGTGTCCTGCATCCTGGCGGACAGTTGTCTTGGTTCATTCCTCTGTTCGCGGATTGGCCAGTCGTCGCGACTCGTTTCATTGGCCATGGACGTATTCGAGTTGGCGTGGTCTAGGCATCGCCCATTTTAAGTGGTGCCTTTACCTGCCTTCGAGGCGTTCACGGTGGATGCCTTTCGGCAGGACTGGTCGAGGTGGGGGTACCTGTTCCTCTTCTCCCGGTCCAGCTGTTGCTTCGGGTACTGGCTGGGTTGGAGCCCATTCCCACGAGAGTAGTCCTTATGGTTCCTTGGTGGCCGGCCCAGCTTAATTTTCAGACGCTGCTAAATATGTGTCCGAACCCAGGGCGTTTTCCCGCGGCTCCGCCTCTTTTAGCAGGTCGGATCGGTCCTGTACTGGACTGGCTTGGCCTTCTCGTCGGCTCTTCGCGTCTGGTTTTTTGACGCGGGTATCACCATCTCTGTGGTGATTATTTGGCTTTGTTGACAGTGTTCCACCTGCGAGCTTCGTCTCGGCGACAGTATGATGTTCTTGGTGTTTCTATGCACTTTTTCTTGCTCTTCGTAGGTTGTCTTCTCCTTCGCATCGGGTTGTCTTGTCCTTTCTTGGGTTTTCAGGACTACAGTTATTTGATGTTTCTTACTGTCGCCTCGTTTTGTGCGGCGCTGGCGGAGCCGCTCCGGCTTACGTTCGGGGTGGACATCACATCTGCCCCATTTTTGTACGCTGTCTTGTGTTTTGTTTCACCTCCGGCCTGCTCGTGCGTCGCCTGAGCCGTCCTGGTCCTTGATCAGGGTTCCTTCTTATCTTCTCCTCAGTTTGTGGTAGCCTCTTCGGTTCAGGTTTCTGCTCTTTGGTACTGGTGGTCGGTTTGTACGTTTGCAGCCTTTCTCCGTCCTGGCGACGGTCGAGACGGCTGCTTTCCGGAAGGGTTCTTGGGTTTTTGATGCTTGATTGGTTTGGCCGGGGGTGCGTCCTGTGTTGTCCGGTTGCGCTTTTTGCCGTTACCTGCGTATCGTGTCTGGGGATGCGCTTTGGGTTGTTCCGGTTCCCCTCGTTCTCTGTTTCAGGGCTCGGATCTCCCAGGTCATCCGCAGAGTTTTTCAGTCTTCCAGCCTGCGGTCTGTCCTTGCGCCCATGCTGTTTGGACGTTTGCAGCTTTTGCTGCTGTATTTGTGACATCTAGGGCTCATTTCGGGCACAGGTTCTTGGCCGGCCATTCTTTATGTGCATCTGCTCCTGTGCGTTCTTTTTGCCTTGGATTGCAGGTTGCAGCCTGTTGTCTCGGCTTCGCGTAGCGGAGTTTGTGGCGGCTGCCTCCCGGGTTAGCCCTTTCTTTTCCTTCTCTTTGGGTATGAAGCTCCAGGGAGTCTTATGGGCTCCCCACAGAAAACCAGTGTTGAATGTAATGAAACGCCATTTTTTGGGTGAGCCCCGGAGGCTCCTTGGCAACCCTCCCTCCCACCAGTCGGTGGTTTTTTCACGTTGTTTGAAGCTTAGCTTCCGAACTGATGCTAGGCAGCTGGCGCGGTAGGTCTGGGGGCTTCCCCCTCCCCCTCTCGGGGCGGGGAAGGCTGCACGGACGATCGGCGCGGCAGTAAAGTGTGATGTTTGCTTGTTTGCTTGTTTCCTTGGGATTGTAGGGAGTTTCTACCTCTCTGTTTGGTTTTTTGTTTTAGTTTTTTACCATGTGGGGTTTGTTTTGTTATGCCTACCTTTCTGGGTGACTAACCCCCAGTCAATGGCAGATAAGGAAAACCCCAACCACAAAGGGGTTTTCCAGGGCCATTGCTCTCTGAACCTCTCTGAAGGGGCCAGGTTCTGGCGCTGGTCCCTGGTAGGTCTGAACTCCTTAGCTAATGTCCCGGTCTAATATAACACACATAAGCTCGATAAGCTCCAGGGAGCCTCCGGGGCTCACCCAGAAAATGGCGTTTCATTACATCCAACGCTGGTTTTTTTACATTACATATTCAGGGAAGGGAATTTATCATTTTACAAAGATCTAATTTTTTTTTTGCAAATACTCGATTATCAGTACACACGGGGAATGTCACAATAAACTCGGTGCATCACAGTGGTTAAGACATATCTTTACCAGTGTAATCACCTCTTATCAATTTATGTTGTAGTTATATGTTAATATACATTTTGCTACAATTACCTATTCATCTTACCTGATATGTTAAATTAGGGACCTGCCCAAAACGCTATGCGTGTTAGTGGCTTTGCTAGAATGTAAAAATACCAATCTTATGTAATTTCACATACCCACTGTACCTTCTTGTAAATAAATATTATTATTTATCTATGCTTCATTAAAAGTTTGTTGTTATACCAAAAGTATTAAATTAAATTAATGTATTAAATAAAAGTATCCATTAATGTAACATCACTTGTATGTATATACCTTACCTGAATAAACATCTGAATCTGAAACATCTGAAGTGCTACATATTTCTCTTAATCCTCTCTGCAACAACAGTTGACATTGTGTTTTTTAATGCACTCTTCTGGCAGTGATAACCATTATGTTGTTATTTATTTGTATGGTTACCTTTCTTGAGCAAACTTTATTAAATATAGGTTGCATAGTGTGTTACTAAGAAATTGTCCAACCTTTACTACAGACTAAAAGTGTTATTACTGGTTAGGGAAGTTGGGAGTACATATTTAATCTGTGGTAAAGTTGTGTCTTTTCATTGATTATTTAAAAATATTTCTTTAACTGCAGATGGATGGTAAGACTTGTCAGGACATCAATGAGTGTCAGTTGAACCCAGGCATTTGCCAGGGTGGTGGTGAGTGTGTCAATACTGATGGCTCATTTACCTGCAACTGTCCTCCCGGCCTTACCCTTGATGACACCAAGACCAAGTGCCTAGATCTGCGAGAAGAGATTTGCTACCTTGAATTTAGAAATGGAATTTGCAGCAAGGAGTTAGAGGTTAGTTGTTACAGCATAGCGTAGTACCAACCGCATAATAAGTTTGTTGCACTTTTGAGCTTTATGTTTCTATATATCATAGTAATTATCCTGACTGTCTTCATGCCTTCCAATTTAATGTAAAATTTCGGGAAACTCACAACTTCATCCCTTAGGTGGGTTTCTCACTTGTTCTGCGGTGTCATCACAGGACTGTGTGGTTCTTCGATTCAGGACTGATTGATCTCACTCTATCTATGTTGGTGTATGCAATTTTCAGGAACGTGTTCCCCTCTCTCTTTATTCTTCACTACCACTTTTTCTAATGATTTTGTTGGTTTGCTTTTTTGTACCATTTTTCTGGCCTGCCTACCCCTATCACTTTGTAGAAAAAAAAAGAATTTATTTCTTCTTCATTCCTGCCCTCATTTAGAGGTTTTGCCTCGACGAGGTTCAGCTTTAGCTTCTCTCTGTCTTCTTTTGAAAGATCTTGTCTTAATGACCATACTTTCCCTTTCTCATCACTTTGTAATTTTCTAGCATGCCTTAGTACTTCTTCCTTCTGTTTGGCATCATTTTGGGTGATCCTCAAAGGTCGATGTTTCCCTTTTACATACTTTCCAATCCTCCTGTAGTCCCAGACATTCTCTATGGTAGTAACACCTTCCACGAGGCCAACAAGTTTATCTACTACTTTCTCTTCTTCTACAGCTCTTTCTGACCTAGATGTTATCTCCTTTTCTTTGCAACCAAAAATTATCAGGGACTTCTTCGATCAACTGTGGTTTGCACCAATTTAGGACTTGATGCTAGTTCCTTTCTGACTTCCAGTCTAATGTATGTTTTATCCTGGTTGCTGCAGTGTTTGGCTTCCTTTACTGCTTCTTCTATTCTTTCCTTTTCATTGGCCACTTGTGCATAGGTGAGTTGCATATCTTTCTTGCACTGTTATAGTCTCTGTGTAACTTCCTCCATCTGTACTAACAAAAGCTGTTTTTCCTGTTGAATATCCTTACCTAACCTATTGTAGTCATTTAAGTTTAAATTCGCTTTAACTTCTTCCAAAGTTAGTTTTAAAGAGTTTATATTCCTTTTCCATGGCTTTGCAATTTGTTTCCAATTGATTGTTGTCCTTGCATAAATCTTTCCCTAACCCTCAAGACCTAAAACTTTGCTACTCAAGTGATCATTACTTTCTTTCAATTTGCTGATTATTTCTTTATGATAGTTCACTATAGTATCAAATTTTGTCAATTTGTTATGTAGACTGTTTATATCAATGCTTTCTTCATTGAAACCCCCAAAATCTAACTCTGTTTTGTTTTCCTTTCTGCTTGTAGCCATCTTGAATGATGTCTGCTCTGTGAACACTAGGGCAACTTTTTCTCATCCAATTTTTTACTTCCCTTGCCACATTCGTGTTATCTTACCTATTTTTCCAAAGCACTACACCTTTATGTTCCTTGCGACACCACTCACTATCATCAACCTGTACTACAATACCTAGGAATTGTGAAATATCCAGGAGCTTCTCTGATGCAGGTGTTGAGACTAGGGGTGTCACCTTTTTTGCCTAAAGGCAAAAAAGTGTGTGAGTAATTACCTAAAGTTAATTACCTAAGTGTGGTTACAGAATGAGAGCTATGCTCGTGGTGACCCGTCTTCCCAGCACTCTTTGTCACATAACGCTTTAAAACTATTAACAGTCTTGGCCTCCATCACCTTCTCACCTAACTTGTTCCAACCGTCTACCACTCTATTTGCGAAAGTGAATTTTCTTATATTTCTTCGGCATCTTTCTTTAGTTTGTTTAAATCTATGACCTCTTGCTCTTGAAGTTCCAGGTCTCAGGAAATCTTCCCCATCAATTTTATCTATTCCTGTTACTATTTTGTACATAGTGATCATATCACCTCTTTTTCTTCTGTCTTCTAGTTTTGGCATATTTAATGCCTCTAACCTCTTCTCATAGCTCTTGCCCTTTAGTTCTGGGAGTCACTTAGTAGCATGTCTTTGCACCTTTTCCAGTTTGTTGATGTGCTTCCACACCACGCCACCTTATGGGCACCACACAACCACTGTATATTCTAGCATTTGCCTAACAAAAATTGTGAACAATTTCTTTAGTATTTCGCCATCCATGTATTTAAAAGCAATTCTGAAGTTAGAAAGCGTAGCATAGGCTCCTTGCACAACATTCTTTATGTGGTCCTCAGGTGATAGTTTTCTGTCTAGAACTACCCCTAGATCTCTTTCTTTACCAGAATTCTTTAAAGATTTCTCACATAATTTATAGGTTGTGTGGGGGTCTTTGTTCTCCTATTCCACATTCCATAACATGGCATTTATTCACATTAAATTCCATTTGCCAAGTGGTGCTCCATATACTTATTTTGTCCAGGTCTTCTTGAAGGGCATAACAATCATCTAAGTTTCTTATCCTTCCTGTTATCTTAGCATCATCTGCAAACTTGTTCATATAATTCTGTAGTGCATCTGGTAGATCATTTATGTAGACAATGAACATCACCAGTGCAAGAACTGAACCCTGTGGTACTCAACTTGTGACATTTCTCCAATCTGATACATTACCTCTGATTACTGCCCTCATTTTTCTATCAGGCAGAAATTTTTTCATCTATATTAGAAGCTTACCTATCACCCCTCCAATCTTTTCCAGTTTCCAGAACAACTTCTTATGTGGAACTCTGTCAAAAGCCTTTTTTAGGTCCAAATAGATGCAGTCAACCCAACTGTCTCTTTCCTGTAAAATTTCTGTGGCTCGATCATAGAAATGAGTAATTTCGATACACAGGATCTTCCAGATCGAAAACCGTACTGTTTGTCTGATATATAATTTCTCTCCAGGTGTTCTACCCATTTAGTTTTTATTACTTTTTCCAATATTTTGACTATTACACTTGTCAATGATACAGGTCTATAATTGAGGGGGGTCTTCCCTGCTGCCACTTTTGTAGATTGGAACTATGTTAGCCTTTTTCCACACATCTGCTATGACTCCTGTACACAGGGATGTCTGAAAAATCAGCTGAAGTGGTATGCTGAGCTCAGCTACACATTCGCTCAGAACCCATGGTGAAAGTCCATCTAGGCCAACTGCTTTGTTCTTAGCTCCAAGAGCATTTGTTTCACTTCATCTCTTGACACGGTCACTGATGGTCGAGTGGTTTAAAGCACCGTGTACACCAGTTGCAATGTGCTTCTGGCGGTGCGAGTTCGAGTCACTTCTGGGGTGTGAAGTTTTCAGTTACGTATATGCTTGGGGACCATTCAAGCTTGTTCACACTTATTAGTTTGTATGTGTAATAACATAAGTGTAATTTTAGGACGAGAGGTAGGCTCGTAGTGTTCTGTCCTCCCTAAAAAAAATTTCAGGTGACTTTTTTTAATCAATCTACTATGTTTGCAAAAGAGTATTTTCATATTTTTTTGAAACCTCTGTTTTCTTAGATTTAAATTGTGGCTTCTTGTTATTGAAGACGCACTTTTTAAGAATTCCTTTGTAACAATTTAGTCTTCAATTTTATGTTTGCATCATAGTGCCTCTTTTTCCTGTCTACTAAATTTGCCATATGTATGTGTGCATGAAATATACAAGGGTACCTCGGTTTAAGAATTTAATCCGTTCCTGGAGATGTTTCGGAAATCGAAGCGAATTTCCCCATAAGAAATAATGGGAAATGAATTAATCCATTCTCAACTCCCCAAAAATACCACTTGAAAGTAAATTTTATATCTAATTCACCCAAATCGACACTACAAAAGTATGCTCAAGTTATTACTTACCGTTGCTGATGACTCCTGTTGGCATATGGAAGATAGTGAGGAGGGGGGAGGAGGAGAGGTGTTACCCTTGGAACCACAAACCGTAACTGTCTCTATTTTCCGCTTGTTACAACTTATAAAGTTGTTACATCTTGGCTTAAAGTGTTTAAGACGTATTAGAACGTTGTTAAACTTGCTATATTGGTTATTATAACTGGTTAGGAGGTGTTAAAACTTGTTCGAACGTTGTACAAACGTCGTAGTTTCGGTGTGTGTTTGGCGGATACTGTTTGGAAGGGGAGTTCCTTTCCATTATAACATCAGGCAGTGAAGATTTCTCTAGAGTGCACTCTTTGGCACGTTTTGACTGCATACCATTAGGTCCTGGTTGTGGCTCACTGCTTGATTTTCTCACTTTTCTCACAAGGAAACGTTCCATTAAAGATTGTTTTTCCCTTCTTAGCAACACTTGTCTGTAGTGAGGCATCACATTGTCATTGAAAAGATTAATGCAATGGCCTATTGCAGCTTTCTCTGGGTGATTCTTTTCAGCAAAACTTTGCAGTCCTTCTTATACTGCACGCATTTCCTTAATTAATGAGGAAGGAACATTATCTACTGCCTCCTCTTCCTGCCCTGAAGATGTTGTACTGCCTAGCTAGTTCAACAACACTTGTACCATTTTCATGCTTACGAATGATCTCTTGTTTTTCCTCTATGGTCATTCTCACATGTGATTTCTTGCTTGAATCTTACCACTGACTTTCTTGGGACCCATGGCGAGATATATAATAACAACTTTTATGCTCAAATGGCCAAAAATCAGACAAAAAACTGCAAATTCTTATGAAGAATGTAGGCAGGATAGTCATTGGGCGCGAGGCACTGGTAAACTGAGGCACAATCTCCATGCCACCACGCGATAGGTCGGCTGTACGCGTATCAACAAACTCGTATCCCGATGCAAAGTTCGTATCCTGATTCAAATTTTCCGGACAAATCGGGCTCGTAACCCAAAAAGTTCGTAAACAGGGACGTTCATAACCCGAGGTACCACAGTATCCTTTTTTTTAAATTCTTATATTAAGTTTTATTTCTTTCATTATAGGGGCTGTTCCGAAAATCGATGTGTTGTTGTACAGTTGGCAAGGCTTGGGGCGAGTTGTGTGAGGCTTGCCCACGCCCTAACACTGATTCCTTTGATGAGCTCTGCCCAAAAAGCTATGGCTATGATGGACGTAAAGATGTGAATGAGTGTACAACTTACTCTGACATTTGTGACAATGGTCGCTGCAGAAACTCAGTTGGCTCCTTTTCGTGTCGATGTAACCAAGGCTATGCATTGGATGAAGATGGAATGAAATGTGTTGGCAAGTATTGGCCATAGCTAATCATGTGGCATTATTTATAGTTTCTGAACAATATATAATTTTGTGAATTGATGATACAATTCATCACATTTATTTATTTATTTAGTCACATACATACATATATATATGTCGTACCTAGTAGCCAGAACGCACTTCTCTGCCTACTATGCAAGGCCCGATTTGCCTAATAAGCCAAGTTTTCCTGAATTAATATATTTTCTCTAATTTTGTTCTTATGAAATGATAAAGATACACATTTCATTATGTATGAGGTCAATTTTTTTTTATTGGAGTTAAAATTAACGTAGATATATGACCGAACCTAACCAACCCTACCTAACCTAACCTAACCTATCTTTATAGGTTAGGTTAGGTTAGGTAGCCGAAAAAGTTAGGTTAGGTTAGGTTAGGTGGGTTAGGTAGTCGAAAAAACATTAATTCATGAAAACTTGGCTTATTAGGCAAATCGGGTCTTGCATAGTAGGCTGAGAAGTGCGTTTTGGCTACTAGGTACGACATATATATATATATATATATATATATATATATATATATATATATATATATATATATATATATATATATATATATATATATATATATATATATATATATATATATATAGATATATATATATATATATATAGATATATATATATAGATATATAGATATATAGATATATATATATAGATAACTGAAAACTCACACCCCAGAAGTGACTCGAACCCATACTGCCAGGAGCAACGCAACTGGTATGTACAGGGACGCCTTAATCCGCTTGACCATCACGACCGGACATAAGGAAGTGATAGCCGAAGCTATTTGAACCACTTCCCCGCCGGCACTCGGATGGTAATCTTGGGCATAGCATATATGTATATAGTTAGTTGTATATAGTCCTGGGGACTATATATGAACTATATGTATATAGTTCAGTTGTATATAGTCCTGGGGACCATTCAGGCTTGTTTGCATTTGTGTTCCTCACGTGTGCCCCAAAGAATGAGGTGATTTGATAAAATGCTATGCCCAAAATTACCATCCGAGTGCCGGCGGGGAAGTGGTTCAAATAGCTTCGGCTATCACTTCCTTATGTCCGGTCGTGATGGTCAAGCGGATTAAGGCGTCCCTGTACATACCAGTTGCGTTGCTCCTGGCAGTATGGGTTCGAGTCACTTCTGGGGTGTGAGTTTTCAATTGTATATAGTCCTGGGGACCATTCAGGCTTGTTTGCATATATATAATATATATATATATATATATATATATATATATATATATATATATATATATATATAGATATATATATATATATATATAGATATATATATATATATATATATATATATATATATAGATATATATATATATATATATGTCGTATATATATATATGTCTACCTAGTAGCCAGAACGCACTTCTCAGCCTACTATGCCAGGCCCGATTTGCCTAATAGGCCAAGTTTCCATGAATTAATATGTTTTTCGAATTTTTTTCTTACCTAACCTGACCTAACCTAACCATTTCATTACCTAACCTGAGGTCAACCTCTTTTATTGGAGTTAAAATTAACATTAGATATATGTCCGAACCTAACCGGTCATATAACTAACCTAACCTAACTTTATCGGTTAAAAATTGACCTTAGGTACACAAAAAAATGGGTTAGGTTTATCATTTCATAAGTTAGGTAGTAAAAAAAATATAATAATTCAGGAAAACTTGGCTTATTAGGCAAATCGGGCCTTGCATAGTAGGCCGAAAAGTGCATTCTGGCTACTAGGTACGACATATATATATATATATATATATATATATATATATATATATATATATATATATATATATATATATATATATATATATATATATATATATATATATATATATATATATATATATATATATATATATATATATATATATATATATATATATATATATATATATATATATATATATATATATATATATATATATATATATATATATATATATATATATATATATATATATATATATATATATATATATATATATATATATATATATATATATATATATATATATATATATATATATATATATATATATATATATATATATATATATATATATATATATATATATATATATATATATATATATATATATATATATATATATATATATATATATATATATATATATATATATATATATATATATATATATATATATATATATATATATATATATATATATATATCGTATATATAGTAGCCAGAACGAACTCCTCAGCCTACTATGCAAGGTCCGATTTGCCTAATAGGCCGAGTGATTTTCTTTATTTTCAATAAATTGTTTTATTGGTTATTTAAAATATTATTATTATATTATATTAAGAACATGAATTACTGATTTAATTTCGTTAGTTTAGGTTAGGTTAAGATAGGTTAGGTTAGGTTAGGTAGGGTTGGTTAGGTCCGGTCATATATGTACGTTAGTTTTAACTAAAATTTTAAAAAATTGGTACATACATAATGAAATGAATAGCTTTATCATTTCATAAGGAAATTTTTTTTTAAAATATATTAAAACTCTGGAAAACTTGGCTTATTAGGCAAACCGGGCCTTGCATAGTACCCCAAGAAGTGCGTTCTGGCTACTAGGTACGACATATATATATATATATATATACATACATCCATACTGGTATACCCAATTAATAGCCAGAATACACTTCTTGGCCTAGTATGCAAGACTCAATTTGTCTAATAGGCAAAAGGATTTTTGTTATTTTCAAAACATTGTTTCCAGTTAGTTTATTTAAATTAATGTTGTTATATTATATTAAAAATATAAGTTACTGACTTATGATAGTTTAGGTAAGGTAAGGGTAGGTTAGGTTTGGTTTGGTCATACAGTACTTCTATGTTAGCTTTAATGGAAATTAAAAAAATAATAAAATAATATAGAATTTAATGGAAAGCCTTATCATTTCAAAATTTTTTTGTATAAAAATCTATAACTTCAGGAAATCTTGGCTTATTAGGCAAACTTAGCCCTGCATAGTAGGCCAAGTAGTGCATTCTGGTTATTGGGTACTACATATATTAAAAAAATAATATTTTATGTTTCAAAATATATAGTGGAGTATGCTTTATAAGTTACATTGTCTCGGCAGATATTGATGAGTGTGGCATCATGCACGGTGTTTGTGGAAATGGTACCTGCCAGAACACTGCAGGATCCTTCATATGTGACTGTGATGAAGGCTTTGAATCTACAATGATGATGCAAGTTTGCATGGGTGAGCCTGTAATTTTAACACAACTAATGGCATTGAATATATTTTACTTTTAATTCATTAGTACTATTTAAATGTCGTATTTTCTCCAGTGTATTCATAAAACATTAAAGTACAGTAGACACCTGTTATTTCAGTATGACCACAGTTTAAAAATTACATTATTCATTATATAAGAATTTATACTAATATATTTTTAACTCGTAAATCCCTATCAAACTGACATAAGTTTTAAATATTCATCTATACAGTATCTATAAAAAAAGAATGTCTGTGTGCCTGAAATTGAAGGCAACACGTGTGGAATTAGCCTAATTAAACTTTGTAGGATTAAGGTGATTTCGTCAGTAGTATCATGGGGGGTCGGGGATCAGCATGGTACATCACTGAAAGGGGCCCAGGTCCCCAATGTTCCTTCATCGTGTAGCCTGTTGATGTGAAATATTTTGCCCTGAGTCCATAGAGTTTACCATTAGTTTGACCCTGCAGGTGCACATTGTAACCAGGGTTTTCATCGATGGTGCACATTGCAACTTGTGTAAACAGTAAACAGCTTGGATAAGACATCTCCAGTAAATAGATGCCATCTTGCCAAAAAATTATCTGCATCTCTCCTGGCTGTGAGAGCCTGAATACTGAGAGAATGATGAAGGCTGGCACATGCAGCAGGAACTCACAGCACTTCTGTGCAGCTAGGGGCCACAGCACCATGTAATAATGATAAATAAAATAGGCAGAAGCGATTATTTTACAATGAAAGTTTCATGGCTGATCCTAACTATTGAAGAGTGTGTACAATGTTCAGATATAAGTGAACACAATGTTCAGTTATGATGTTCACAGCATGAGGCAGACAGCCACAGCACTAAGCCATTGATTTGTGCATTTACACATCATGAAACTACCTTGTGCTCCTTTACAATATAACCTTGTGGAAAAGGATTCACATTCAGGATTTAGTGACAGGAATCTTATAATAATAGCAGTTCTGTGGCCATGTTTTAGTGATGTGCATAGCATATTTGGAAGCTATTTCTTGGATCAGGTGATGTTTGCTGAGGCATTGTCTGCTCATATCGTGTGCTCCATGTTATGTTTTGATTTCATCCACAAAAATCTACCAGAACTGCTTATTGTTTTTTATGGTGCATGAAAAAATTGATATGATCCCCGGTCATATATATAAGGGTCCCAGTAGTACAGTCGGGTTCGTTCTCGATGCACAATTGAGAATTCCAGGTTAGAATCCTGGGCGGGACAGAAATGGTCGGGCACATTTCCTTTCACCTAATGTACCTGTTTACCTAGCAGTAAGTAGGTACTAGGGAGATATTCAGCTTGTTGTGGAATTCCATTTTGGGTGGGGTCAGCGATTCGACCTGGGGGGGGGGTGACTATATAAGCCTAACGTGCATGAATACACTCTGTACCCCGACGCAATGAATTATAATAATTATTTATAATGATAGGGAAGGGTGTATACGAGCATGGGGATAGAGGTGACACGGAAAAGTGTATGTGCGAGCAGTGAGAGACGTGATGAGGGTAAGGGCATGTCAAGTGGGAAGGTGATGAGGGAAAGGTGTCTGTGAACATAAGATGACGTGGGAAGGATGCTCTTCACTTTTCAAAAACAGCTAACTTTGACAAGCTGGATAACTTTATCATTCAAGGTAAATAATATGCTGTGTTTTTATATCATATGATTTTATGAAGATTTATGGTGGTCTGTGAACGCATCTTGCATTACGCCAATGGAAAATCTCACTTTGCATTCCGAAATAAGTGCTTTATGAACACATTCCTAGAATGTAACGTATTTGTAGCAAGGCGACCTGATACCAGTAAGTAGCATCATATTTAAAATTTGTTCTTAGTTGGCAAGGTAGGGACTTAAAGACCTCAGGGAACTTTTTTCCATATTTTTCATTATATCAAATGTAATTCTTAGTTGGCTTCAGAATTTAACACTATGAAGTAACAGGTATCTACTTCAATTATTTTTAACACATATATATGTATATATATTCAGTGCTTGGTGCTAGTTCCTATTACTGTAGTTCCTATTCCCACTGATTGCTGATACAAAACACTTATCTGATATTTTTTAATATCAATTGGACAAATTATGCACACACATGCTTATATAATTATACAGTATTATTTAATATTAATTAAAAGATCTTATAATTTTTTTTTATTAAAAATCATAAGATCTGTATATTAAAGTTAAGTTACTGAATAAAATTCAAGGATATACCTATCATATTGTGCTTGTGAGATCCACAGATATCAATGAGTGTGACCGCATCACTAGCCTGTGTCGTGGTGGCCGCTGCATAAACACTCCAGGGAGCTTTAGGTAAGTCACGATTATTTCTATTAATATTTGACCTGACTTGTAAACTTACATGTATATTTTTGAAGCTTTTTATTTACTTTGGCAGGCATTATTTGCAATAGTGCATAGTTTATTTAGCTTTCTTTATTAATAAGATGAATTTCATTTGCTCTAGTGTCATTGTCCAATTCTATTTATGTTGCACTATTTATTATAGACCTGTATCGTTGACATGTGTATAGTCAAAATATTGGAACAAGTAATTAAAATCAAATGTGTAGAACACCTGGAGAGAAATGATATATGTAATAACACAGTTATTATGGTTTTCGATCAAGATGATCCTGTGCAACAGATCTACTTAGTTTCTAATGATGAGTCACAGAGATTTTATAGGAAATTGGAACATACTGGAGGGGAGTGACAGGGAGATTGCTGACATGGATGAACAATTTTCTAACTGGCAGAAAAATGAGGGCAATAATCAGAGGCAATGTATCAGACAAGAGAAAGATTGCTGGTGGAGTAGCACAGGGTTCAGTTCTAGCATCAGTGATGATCATTGTTTATATAAATGTTCTACCAGAAGGATTACAGAATACGAACATGTTTGCTGGGGATGAAGCGACTAGGGAAGGTAAGAAACTTAGAAGATTGTCATGACGTTTGAGAAGACCTCAAAATGTGTATGGAGCAACACTTAGCAAATGAAATTTAATATGAATAAATGCCATGTTATGGAATGTGGAATAGGAGAAATTCAGCCCATCCTCCTGTTTTGGTAGTGTAATAATAACGATAATATAATAATAGTAGTAGTATAATAATAACTTATAATAATGATGAGAACCATAGTTTATATACCGACGTACAAAGAAATTAGAAAGTAGAAATCTGAACTGTTGAGTTGGATAAACCGGAAAACTATTTTTTACTTGTGTTTCTTTGACAAACTAAACTAACCTAACCTAACTTAACCTAACCTTCCTAGGCCTAATACACTATCTGAGGCCTAATATAATACATATGTGTGCTATAATAGGCCTAGGAATAATTAAGTTGATTTTATTGCCAACAGATGGTTGCACTTACTGGGTCCAATTTACCATTTTATTGACCAAATATTTGGCTAAACTGGAATTATATGAGGTTATGTGGAAAAAAAAGTTATAATGAAGTGCCCTAGACTCCTAGAGTTTACATTGGTTATGTTATTTAGTGAGTCTCTACAGGTAGGTGGCTCAATCATTCAAAAGACCTCTTTAGCTTGAGGGCATTTTCAGCTGAGAGAAACATTTTTCAGCTCAGCTGAAAAAAGCATTTTCAGATATGATATTTTAAATGATTCTGAGTGTTGACAATAATAGTGCCTTATATTTTGTCCCTTGCTATAAATTTATGATATAAGTAAATATCTCCATTTGAAAGGATACATTTTCATTGAATTGCAGGGGAACGAAGATTTAATAGGAAATTACTATTTCATTTTAATTTTATATTTTCTTAGAGTTTTGTGGTCTTTCAAAGTCATCTTTAGGAAAGTGACTACACTCTCTGGGTCTGTCACTGTTTCGTGGATTTATTGTGTTATATGAGGGTGTTCATGTTGCCAGGTGTGAGTGCCCTCCAGGCCATGAGCTCTCCTCAAATCAACGCTTCTGCAAGGATATTGATGAGTGTTCTCGTACATCAGGCATCTGTTCTAATGGTGTGTGCGAAAACATGATGGGCACGTACCAGTGTATGTGTAATGATGGATATCAACAAACAGGGCAGAAATCTCACTGTGAAGGTAAGAGTACTATTTAAATTTTCATCTAACCTTTGCAGAAATTAACTTAAATATTGATGCATCAAATTAACGTTGTCTGTATTGCAATGAAATACAACTTCTCAGTATTTATAGTAGTTTTTGGCCATTTCATTTTTCTTATAGTCCCCAGCCATTCTAACCTGATCACAATTTTTATACAGAAAAACCAGCATTGAATATAATGAAACACCTCTTTCTGGTAGAGCTTAGGTGGCTTCCTGAAGCTGTTTTACTGAGATTGGTCCTACTAGATCACATCAGTTGCAAAAGTTCTATTTGGTCTACTGGGGGACCAGAACCAGAACCTAGTAACAGTTAATTATAACACTTAGTACAGGAAATACATCCCATTGTACTAAGGAGTAGTAAATGAGTATTAAATGATAATGAAGCCTAATACAGTTAATACATCCTATTGTATTAGGGATGAGAATAATTGTTGGAAATTTCCAACACCCTCTGCCCTAAAAAATGGAAGAATCCAGGGGAAAGGCAGAAAAGAAAGGGCCACTGGTAAGACCCAGAAGCCTTGGCAGGAGGAACAGGCTCGAATACCTCCGTCCCCAACCCGAACGGGGCAGCCCCCAAAACCACCCGAGTCTCTGCATCAGATAAACCCTGCCCCGACCCCGAAACCTGCAGATTGTCAGTAGCTGGGAACAGGAAGGGAAAGGGGTGAATAGCATCTAACCAAAATGGGGCGGCCCTGGGGCATCCGGGTGGATGCCCCAGGGCTGACCAACCTAGCGTGTTGCAGCAACCTAAACCGAGCTTGCAACGCGGATGCCACCTGTACTCTGAACAATAAGGACAGCGGGAGAGTACTGGAGAACAAGCAGAAAACACAACTCGCAAGACTCTGCGTCACGGTGTCAGTGACCCAACAGGCAGCATGACGGAGGTAAAAGTGGTGAATGTCACCCTGAGACAAGGGCACAGCAACCAACAAACCCACACAAGACGAGATGGAACCCGGAACACACATCCAATGGTCCACCTAGCCCCGACAGGGTTTTCCAGGGCCCGTAAGCTGACTACTACGGGAAGCCCGGGCAAGGAGTTGCTAACCAGTTAACACCCAAGCTAACAAGGGGTAGATGCAACACTGAAAACCCCTGTGACGTGTACAATCACGGGGGCATAACAGACTGCCACCTGACACTACCGGTGGAAATATAGCCATAGCCACCCTAGGCAGACCCCCACCAGGCAAATGAAATTAAAAACAAAAGAAAGCCCCCGCAAAAGTACTCCGTCCCCAGAGGCAACAGGAACCGATTGTCGCATAGATAGCAGGTCGCGAAACACCTTGACGCCTTAACCAGCACAATACCAGTCCCTACCCAAGGCCAAACAAGGGCCCCAAGCCCCAGCTGGTTCCAAGGGCGAGGCAAATGCCGAGCAGCAAGAACCTCTATGGGAATGGTTCCCGAATGCCCCAGGGAAGATAACCCTCTAATGCAGGGGCAGTACTGTACTCACAGGGCACTTAGGGAAGGAAGCCCCTAAGCGCATGCAGCCCCGGTACTGATGAGGAACACCTGGCCACCGCACAACACAAAAACACAGCAGTGAGCGCCACGAAGGCAAACACTGCCTAGGAAACTGAGGCCAGAGAAGCATCTGTCCCGGTTGACATTAGCTTTCGAACGGGAGTGCTTTGCAGCCGGCGCAGTGATATCCGGCTCCTCCCCGTCCCCCTCTCGGGAAGGGGAAGGCTGCGTGGACGAGTGGCACCCAGTAGTGTGTTACGTTTGCTTGTTTCCTTGGGATTGTAGGGAGTTCTTCCTCTCTGTTCAGTTTTTGTTGTTTGTTTTGTTATACCTACCTTTCTGGGTGCCTAACCCAGGTCGATGGCAGGTAAGGAAAACCCCCAACCACATTGGAGTTTTCCAGGGCCCCCTCTTTGAAGGGGCCAGATTCTGGCTTATGGTCCCTGGTAGGTCTGAACTTCATAGCTAATGTCCCGGTCTAATATAACATACATTAGCCCGATAAGCTCCAGGGAGCCATAGGGGCTCCTCTCAGAAAAGTAATTATTATATATCACGCCATGGGTTCCAAGAAAGTCAGTGGTAAGGTTCAGCCTAATAAATCACATGTGAGGATGACCTTAGAGGAAAAACAAGAGGTCATTCGTATACATAAATATGGTACACGGGTTGTTGAACTAGCTAGGCAGTACAATAAATCTTCAGGAGAGGAGGCAGTGGAGGATGTCCCTTCCTCATTAATTAAGAAAATGTGTGCAGTATGGGAAGAACTGCAAAGTTTTGCTAAAAGGACTCACCCAGATAAAGCTTTAGCAGGCCATTGCATTGATCTTATTAATGACAATGTGATGTTCTACTACAGACAAGTATTAAAATGTAGGGAAAAACAAATATCTTTAGACAGATTCTTGATAAGACAAGCAAGCAGTGAACCACAACAAGGTCCTAGTGGTATGCCTACAAAACGTAGGAGAGAGAGTACCCAAGAAAAGTCATCAGTGCTTGATGTTATAATGGAAGGGGACTTCCTTTCCAAACACTAACACCTCTCCTTCACTCCCCCCCCCCTCCTCACTGTCTTCCATACAACAACAAGAGTCATCAATAAAGGTAAACTTGTACATACAATAGTATTAAATATTTGTGTGTATTAGGTATGAAATGTATTTTGAAGTTAATATTATTGGGAGTGTGGAACTGAATAATTCAATTTACATGTCTGGGGGGAGCCCTGTTGGCTCCCTGGAGCTATCCTGGCTGAATGGATATGTATAACTTTCTGGCATCAGTCAAAGTGCAGGAAGTTCTTGCCTACCGGGGACCACGAGCCAGAACCTGCCCTTCTCAGAGTGGCACGAGGAGCAATGGCCTATAGAAACCCCCCTGTGGTTGGGAGCATTCTACGTCTGCCATCGACTGGGACAGGCACCCAGAAAGGTAGGCGGCCCAAAACAAACCCTATTCTGGCGAAAATATTGCTACCGAAAGCCAAACGAGTGGAGAGAACTCCTCAAACAAAATTAGCAAACTAGCATGATGTCATCACGTCATCAAGGCACATCTTCAGGCAGATGACATTTTGATGTTCGGAGTCGACATATTTTTGCGTAAAACAAATGGAGAACTGTGTGATACAGGCACTGCCCTACTTACTTTTCTAGACTACTTTCCCCCTGATTGGGTTTGGATTAACGGTTTACTCCATAAACTAGATGTGTACATACCGCATCCCACTCAATGCTATAGATGTAAAGAATTTAACCATGCCTCAGAAGGCTACACCAAAGACATCAAATGTGGAAAATGCTCTGGTTCCCATTACACACAAGAATGTGTCAGATATACTCACCTGTTCAAACTGTGGTGACGATCAAGACACTACATTCAAACAATGTCCTTCATACATTGAAGCAAAAACTAAGACTCTTCCCCACCAACAACATGCAATACAGTAGTGTACTGAAACAACCTAACGCAATTCGTCACCCATAACTACCACATAACTACCTCATCCACAACCTTTGCATGTACCTGATATGTCTGTCACTGACCATCCTTCATCCCCCAGAGTCCAATCCTCTCCCACAAAATGTACAACTGAGTTCAGATCTCGTTGAAACTTTATCACTCGCATTGAAAATTCACTAGAAAAGACACTGGACCGACTCCCAACTAAATTCTTTACACAAGTAATCCAGCCCATCCCCAAGACTGACCCAACACACACAGACCCAGCAGACTTGGAAGATATTGAAATTACCAGAGCTGAGGTTAGGAGGTATCTGCTTGATCAAGTGACTAAGGATTTTGGACCTGATGGAATCTCACCATGGATGCTAAAAGAGGGGGCAAATCATTTTGTTTGGCACTATCTATGGTGTATAGCAAGTCACTGGAAACAGGAGACCTACCAGAGAGTTGGAAGACAGCTAACGTAGTCCCAATATACAAATAGGGCAATAGGCAGGAGGCTCTAAACTATAGTCCAGTGTCCTTAACTTGTATACCATGCAAGGTGAGGGAGAAGATCATGAGAAAAAGACTGGTACTACATTTGGAGAGAAGAGCATTGTAACATACCACCAGCATGGGTTGGAGTAAGTGGTAGGGTGCTCCAATGAATAAAAGAGTCCTAAACAAGAAGAAGCAGAAAGTTACTGTGAGGAGTGAGATCTCAGACTGGTGTGATATCAGCCGGGGATATCACTGGGGATATCAGGTACTCGGCCCTATCTTGTTTCTGATATACATGAATGATCTTCCAGAAGGTATAGACTCATTCCTCTCAATATTTGCTGATGATGCTAAAATTATGAGAAGGTTTAAGACAGAAGAAAACAGCAAGAGGATACAGGATGACCTGGACAGACTGAAGGAATGGTCCAACAAATGGCTACTAGAGTTTAACTCTAGCAAGTGCATAGTGATGAAGATAGGCATTGAAAGCAGGAGGCCAAACACAAGATACCAGCTGGGAGAGGAAATCCTTCAAGAGTCAGGAAGAGAGAAAGCTCTGTGAATTGATATCACACCAGACCTGTCTCCTGAAGGCCACATCAAAAGGATCTTATCTTGAGGTTATCTTGAGATGATTTCGGGGCTTTAGTGTCCCCGCGGCCCGGTCCTCGACCAGGCCTCCACCCCCAGGAAGCAGCCCGTGACAGCTGACTAACTCCCAGGTACCTATTTACTGCTAGGTAACAGGGGCATTCAGGGTGAAAGAAACTTTGCCCATTTGTTTCTGCCTCGTGCGGGAATCGAACCCGCGCCACAGAATTACGAGTCCTGCGCGCTATCCACCAGGCTACGAGGCCCCTAATAACATACAATAAGGATAACATCAGCATTTTATGTAAGGCTGGCGAACATAAGAACTGCCTTCAGAAACTTGTATAAGGAATCATTCAGAACCTTATATGCTTCATTTGTCAGGCCAATACTGGAATATGCAGCTCTAGCATGGAGTCCACATTTAGTCAAACACAAAACAAAATTTGAAAAGGTTCAGAGGTATGCGACCAGGCTAGTCCCTGAGCTGAGAGGAATAAGCTATGAGGAAAGATTATTGAAACTTGTCTTCCTCACAACACTGGAAGACAGAAGAGTTAGGGCACACATGATCACTACCTATGAAATTCTCAGAGAAATTGACAGGGTATATAAAGATAAAATGTTTAGCACAAGTGGTACACGAACAAGGGGACACAGGTGGAAACTTAGTACCCAAATGAGTTGTAGGGATGGTAGAAAGAACTTTTTCAGTGTCAGTAGTTAACAGATGGAATGTTTTTGGCAGTGATGTGGTGGAGGCTGACTCCATACACAGTTTCAAATGTAGATATGATAGAGCCCAATAGGCTTAGGAGTCTGTACACCAGTTGATTGACAGTTGACAGGTGGGACCAAAGAGTCAAAGCTCAACCCCTGCAAGCACAACTAGGTGAGTACTAACCACACATTACTTAACATAATCTAACCTCACCTTACGTTTAATGAATTGCAACTAACTCCCAAGCATACTTCGACTCACAAACTCAGTCTCTTGACTAATCCACACACTCCATAGCACAGCAACACTCAGCTACCACCATCAACACAACTTGCCATCCTGAGTCAAGTTCAACTCATGTTTATTTTTGTCATTATGCCTACACAAATAGACGACTTCAATAACTTTCAAACCCTGCCAAATTATGAACTTTGATGCGCTACTGTGAGTGATGCATCTTTCAACATTACCACTCGTGCAGTCATTGGGAGGATAAACCTTAATGCAAACTGCACGTATCATGAAGAAGAGGCACCTACTCTGGTGTGTCTCTCCGAGGGGGCCAGGTTCTGACTCTGGTCCCTGGTGGCCCAAACAGAACTCCATCGACTGACGTTACCTAATAGATAGGAGCAATCTTAGTGAGATAGCTTCAGGAATCTTCCAAGGCATTCCTCAAAAAAATCTTCACAAATAAAAAGTTTTGTAATTACAATGTTTTTGTATGTTTGCATTTTGTTTAACTTAATTAAATAAATTCATCTCATTTTCTTGTAAAGACATCGACGAGTGCAGTTTAAACAACGGTGGCTGTGATGATATCTGCATTAACACTCCGGGACATTTCTCTTGCTCCTGTTCTACTGGATACATGTTGCTCATGGATGGACGTTCTTGTGCAGATGTTGACGAGTGTAAAGGTTTGTATTTTCATCATCTAAGAATATATTTAACATTCGCTTCTTGCTTATTGTTTAATATCTTGTGATGCAATACATTTCAGTATGTTAAATATTTAATGTTGATGTTCATTGCTACTTCTCAACCAATAGATAGAAATCAACTATACTGTAGTTTTTTCAGTAGAAAAGGGTGATCAACAAATGATCACTATTTGTAGGAAAGAATGAATAACTATATTAAGAAGCTCTTATGATTTCTAAAGTGATTACTCATGAGTGATGCTAATCTTACCTATTAGTGCTTAATTCTTATCTTTCCTATTAATGCTTAATTATCAGTATCTATGAATGATGAGATATAGCTGTATGGGTCCCACCTCCAAGCTATTTATACTTTACATATTTTAAATCTCTCGATGTTCATGTTCAGTGTTGTATTTACTCTTGTAGTTGTGGGTATATATATATATGGCTTCTATGACTTCACATTTTAATATTTACTTGTTCACTACCTATATTATGCACAAGTATTTTATTACATTTCTCTGACTCATTTTTATAACTATTTAGTTTTTGTTTGTTTACCTCTAGAGGTGTTAGTTTGAATTGGCTTAACTCGTCAATGTAGCTTGGCCACATATTTCAGGCATTTGCTTTGTTGCAAACACCTATACTTTTCAAGTTTCTTTTCTGGAGGGCCACTTGGTGCCTGATGTTGGTATCTGCCTAGATAGCTCCATACATAAGGACACAGATTCAAGCTTAGGAAACAAAGGTGCCAAAAAATATTAGAAAGTTTTCTTTTGCAAACAGAGTGGTAGTCGGTTGGAACAAGCTAAGTGAGAAGGTGTTGGAGGCCAAAACCGTCGATAGTTTCAAAGCGTTATATGACAATGAGTACTGGGAAGACAGGACACGACGAGCGTGGCTCTCATCCTGTAACCACACTTAGGTAATTACACACACTATCATAACAGAACCTTACAAGTCATTGAAAGCCTACCATAGAACACAGGCCAAAACCACCTCCAGCTTGCGCTCATTAAGCCAGCCTATACTCATTACACTCTCTTAACTCATTATTTAATGTACTCTTAAGACCCTGTAATCATTATACCCTCCTGTTCTTACTGCAAAACACTTTTCATATTTTAGATATGTAGACCCTGGGGTACATTCTCATAAAATCTCAATATGCCTAGTTAGATTATTATTACTAGCTAAGTTTTATGAAACAAAGGAAAGTACTTAGAGTAGATGCTTCTATTCATAAAATAATTGCTTAATAGGCTTCAAAACCCATTTCCATTGTATAAACATATGTCTACTTTCTTAACTTTAGCAAGACAATTCTATGCATTTATTACTCTTTGGTAGAAGGAGAAAAATTTCTTCATCATTTGTTCTGCCTTGCAAAACAAATATTATTGTATTTGGAGTTTGTATTTAGTTACTAAGTTTGGAGGATGAACTCCAACCTCAGTAGCCACTTGGGAATACAACCTCATTTAATATATGTTCTTCAATTTTTGTCTCTGTTAGTGCGACAATATCTGGGACCTTAAGCTGAATTATATCTCTTAGTTCCAGTATTTTTGATCTCATTCCATCTATGTTGGTACATATATACAATTTTCAAGAACATGTTCCTTTTTCTTTTATCCTTTACTCCCTCTTCTTTTAATGATTTTGTTGCTTTGTTTTTATGTACCATTTCGCTAGCTTTCCGGTCCCTATCAATTTGTAGAAAAAAGAATTGCTTTCTTCTTAATTTCTATTCCTATTTAGACGTTTTGTGTCATCGAGTTTTGTTTTCAGCTTTTCTCTGTCTTCCTTTGAGAGGTCTTGTCTTATTGACCAAAGTTTGCCAGCCTCATCACTCTGCAATTTCTTGGCATTTCTAAGCACCTCTGTAAGCACCCTGTAGGCTTATAGAACTCTATGGCTGATGCACCCTAGTCAATGGTACCATCTCAGTGTATAGCTTGAGGGAGCCACAAGGCATAACCAGAAATTTACTTTTCGTTACATTCAGTGCTGATTTCTTCTCAAGTTGGTGTGGGAATATACCAGTGTTTACCTGGAGTGGCATAAGATAGTACCAGTGCTTTTTCCTGGAGTGACTGTGGGACTTTATTAATCTTTCTCTGTTGTTGTGTGGGGGAAGGGAGGAGTGTTTGTGTGTGTGTAATTACCCCAGTGTAGTTACAGGATGAAAGCTTTGTTCGTGGTGTCCCATCTTCTCAGCACTCTTTGTGCTTGCGTGAGAGGGAAAAGCAAATGTCCTTGAGTTAGGAATGAGTGATTGTGATGAGCCTTGGATGGTGAGAGGGAAAGATGTGTAATTACCTAAGTGTAGTTACAGGATGAGAGCTACGCTTGTGGTGTCCTGTCTCCCTGGCACTCTGTCATATAACGCTTTGAAATTACTGATGGTTTTGGCCTCCCACCTTCTCACCTAACTTGTTCCAACCGTCTAACACTCTGTTCATAAAAGTGAATTTTCTTATATTTCTCTGGCAGCTTTATTTCATTAGTTTAAATCTATGACCTCTTGTTCTTGAAATTCCTGGTCTCGGGAAATCTTCCCTGTCAATTTTATCGATTCCTGTTACTATTTTGTTCGTAGTGATCATATTGCCTCTTTTTTCTTCTGTCTTCTAGTTTTGCCATATTTAATGCCTCTAATCTCTCTTCATAGCTCTTATCCTTCAGTTCTGGGAGCCACTTAGTAGCATGTCTTTGAACCTTTTCCATTTGTAACATTTTCATTAAGAAAGTATTTTAGGGCCCAAGAATTACAGTACCCGTACTTGAAATATTACTGTACTGGCATATAACAATTTTAAATTTAGGACCAATCTGATTTATGGAATAGGGCATGGACCCCATGTAGGTCATTTAATTTAATGGTTACCGAGGTGAATCAGTGTTAATGATGTCATATTCTGAGGGATAATTTTCAGGTTAACTATTAGTAATAAATGTCTCATCACTAATATCCTCCAGGTTTATGAAATGAAAGTTCATAACGTTTTTTGTCATCATTGGTTCCTATCATGGGAGTAAGTAAATGGATGTTGATGCACTAAGGCCTAGGAAGAGAGCTAAGGTGATCAGAATTTTTTTTCCTATATGTGAAATGATTGCCATAGGTCTTTTAGTTTTGAATTATGTTCATATACAGTAGTCTTTAGGACTTTTGAATATTATAGGACATATCTAGTTTCTCATAGGTGATGGGTGCACAACTGGTCTGTTGCTTGAGGGTAATAGGAGTAGTTCAAAGGTTAAATGACTTAAAAATATTTACAATTTTTAAGAACTTATGTTGATAGATGGACTGCATATGAAGGATATTGATTTTCATTTAGTAAATTCACATGAACATTTTTAATATAATTATATATTAGCATACTGATAAATATACTATTGTTATCCCACCAGAAAATTCCAAGATCTGTGCAGGTGGTGTATGTACTAATACTCCAGGCAGCTACATGTGCACCTGTGAGGGAGGCCTCCTTCCAGACTCTGATGGGCCTGGCTGTCTTGGTGAGTTGCAATTTACATCAATAGTCTGTATTAGAAGATGATAATTACAGGATTAAATTACAATACATGAATTTTGTTTATTATTGACATTTATTTAAGGAAATTAGTTTTGCCATATTACAGATGTTAATGAGTGTGAAATGAACCCAAATCTATGTCAAAATGGCAAGTGTGACAATGCAGTGGGATCATTTGCCTGCCGTTGTGAGAATGGCTATAGTGTCAAGTCAGAACTTGGCCCCGGCTGCACTGACGATGACGAGTGTTCCCTTGGCTCATTCCGATGTGACCAGAATGCTGAATGTGTCAACATTGATGGTACATATGAATGTCGCTGTCGAGATGGTTTCACAGGTAAGGTACACATTTGAAGTGAAACTGTACCATATATTCCTAAAATTGTATTCTTAATGCTACATTCAATATTAGTGCTATTATTTTAATGTTTTTAATACTGTAGTTGCATTATTATTATGTTCAATGAATGAAAGATGAATACTTCTTATTCATAAACATTTCAGGTAATGGCAAGACATGCCGAGATGTAAATGAATGTCTCACGAATAATGGCGGCTGTGATCGTGATGCTCAGTGCATAAACACAGATGGTTCCTTTAAATGTGTGTGTGATGCTGGCTTCCGTGGAGATGGTTTCTTCTGTGAAGACATTGACGAGTGTACTCAAGACCCAACCCTGTGTGAAAATGGCCAATGCCTTAATTTTCCAGGATCCTTCCAATGTGATTGTGAAATGGGCTTCATGCATCCTGATCCTCACAATGAGCAAGAGTGTGTTGATATTGATGAGTGTGACATGTTTAGCAACCTATGTGTATTTGGCCAATGTGAGAATATATTTGGCATGTTCCGCTGTATTTGTGATGAAGGCTACCATTTAGATGAAACTGGTGGGAACTGCACTGACATTGATGAATGTGATAATCAAGATGTATGTCTATACGGAACATGTGTAAACCAGCAAGGAGCACACATCTGCGAGTGTCCACCACATCATGAACTTATCAGCTCTGGTGATGGATGTATAGGTATGTAATTTGTTGAACTAATTTAAAGTTAATGATTATATTACAGTAGATTTCAAAGTATGATGCTTTGATCTAAAAAAATGTATTTATATAATTAATGGCAGGACATTCTTTCAATAGATCGCCGTGAGGGTGAGTGTTATCTGGATGTGGTGGGGGTAAGAGGAGGGCATGGAGTATGTCGTGACCCCTTGGGTGAACCTGTTACTAGGACCACATGCTGCTGCTCCATTGGCAAGGCCTGGGGACCTTTGTGTGAGGTGTGCCCACAAGAAGATTCAGATGAACACAAACGACTTTGTCCTGGCGGTAAAGGCTTCCGACCAAACACAATCACTGTGAGTATACATAAATGCAGAGGGTTGCGCAAAATGTAGGTGTAAACTGTACCCATGATGATTTGCATGAATCTATTAGCAGTTACTGGCTATTACATATACACTCTTCTTTCATTCCTAGTTTATTAATCTTCAATATCATGCATAATGTCACTATTTTATTATTGAAGAAGAGAGTAAGAAAAAAAGACTGAACTCTCCTGGTCAGTATGTATGTCTATGCAACCTCTCTGCTTGAATAATGCATCGCATTTTGATGTAAAAATCCCTAACGAATAAAATATTATGTACTATGAATCATAGCAGCTCACAAAAGTTCATGTTTTCTCTGAGCAAGTCATCGGGTAGGTTTGGTTCGGACAATTTAGTATCTTTACACACAGAAATCATAATAGTGTGATGCACCACACTAGTGGTGCATACAAAGTGCCACAACTCTTTGAACCATGGCTCATGGTTCCTGGTAGGCCAGTAAGAACTCCTCAATTGATGGCACCTTGTAGTATGACACTGAATCTATGTGCCATACATAGAATCCTCACTATTCAGTTATCAGATTACTGAATCTATGTAATAGATTCAGGAAGCCTCAAAGGGGGTTTCCCCAGAAAAGTGACTTATTTTGCCATAGTTCATATCTTTAAAAAAAATTATTTCAAAATAAAGCAAATGTTTTCAAACAAAGCAAAATACTTTTTAACAAAATAATAAACATAGAACAGCATATCAAATTATACAATTCAGTGTAATGCTATGTATGCGTTTACTTAAAAATAGAATTAGCACTACTTCTCCTTCAAATCCATGCCTTACATTGTACTACCACAATCTGTTCATAATCAAACAGCCTATGTGGTTGCAGACGATTGTGGACTGTCCTGTACCAATCTGCTTGATTATGGTCAAGGATGGACCGAAATGTTGTCGCCTCTTCATCTTCTTGTGTGTGGTTTGGTCATCAGCCTATGTAGTTCCTTTGTAATCTTTTGTAGTAATCATTTCACCTCTGTTCTCTCCTCTAAGGTTGTGAGAGGAGACCATACCTTTCTCGTAATAGCTTTCATACATTTCCTAATAACGCTCTCAATTTTGGTACTAAACTAGTTGCTAACATCTGAACTTTCTCATAGTGAGTAATGAAGTGTGGATGAATAGGTGTTTTCTAAATATATTTAATGTCTTCAATGCTTTATTGCATGATACTTTTACATTCTTTCTAATTAGATGTAGAAAATCAGATAATAATTCTAAATATTGTACTATATTCTCAGCATTGGTAGCCAAGGGGCATTCAAGACATTCAAACTACATATAACATTTTTCAGGTAATTCTGGAGGATATTGATGAATGTGCAGAGATGGACAACTTGTGCGATAATGGCCACTGTTCCAACACCTTCGGCTCCTTCATGTGTTCGTGTGACCGAGGATACAGACTGAATGCTGGAGGGTCACTTTGTGTAGGTCAGTCACTGAGAACTGGAAGTAATGTAGAAGCAGATAGTGAAAGGGAGAATGAACCACAAACACAAACACATATCAGTACATGTATGTATAGAGTACAGCAAACAACTGACAGTCAAACTTCTGTCTAATTGATTGATTTCAGTATTCATTTTTCAATGACAATTACAAATTACTGTATGTTGAGATCTGGTGGGTTACCTCACCCTATGACACATTATCCCTTGAATTTATAGCCTCTCAATTTCTCCTTCTTTTCCCATATGCTTGTCTTTTTTTGTTACTTCTGTGTTTTCATCCTTATATTTATCTGTTTCTGTCACTTTCTTTCTCTGTTATTGTCTTTATCTCTTAATGTATTTTTACCACAGCCTCTTTCTCTGCTCATATCTGCTAAATGTCTTTTCTGTGGGGAGCCCCTACGGCTCCCTGGAGCTTATTGGGCTAATGTATGTTATGTTAGACCGGAACATTAGCTATGGAGTTCAGACCTATCAGGGACCAGCGCCAGAACCTGGCCCCTTCAGAGAGGTTTCAGAGAGCAATGGCCCTGGAAAACCCCTTTGTGGTTGGGGGTTTTCCTTATCTCCCATCGACCGGGGTTAGTCACCCAGAAAGGTAGGCATAACAAAACAAACCCCACATGGTAAAAAACTAAAACAAAAAACCGAACAGAGAGGTAGAAACTCCCTACAATCCCAAGGAAACAATCAAACAAGCAATTATCACAATTTACTGCTGCGCCGGTCATCCGCGCAGCCCTCCTCTCCCCGGGAAGGGGAGGGGGGGGGGGCCCGGACCTCACCGCGCCGGCTGCTTTCAGTTTGTAAGCTAGTGTCAACTGGGACAGACGCTTCTCTGGCCTCAAATTCCTGGGCGGTGTTTGCCTCGTGTGGCGTTCTCTGCTGTCTTTGTGTGATGTGCGGTGGCCAGGAATACCTCATCAGTGCCCGGGCTGCATGCGCTTAGGGGCTTCCTTCCCTAGACATCCTGTGAGTACTGCCCCTGCGTGTCAGGGTTATCTTCTCTGGGGCGTTCGGGAACGGCTCCCGTAGGGGTTCTTGCTGCTCTGCATTTGCCTTGCCCTTGGGGCCAGCTGGAGCTTGGGTCCCTTGTTTGGCCTTGGGTAGGCAGCGGTGTTGTGCTAGTTAGGGCGTCAAGGTGTTGCGCGACCTGCCACCTAAGCGACGACTGGTTCCTGTTGCCTCTGGGGACAGTGTACTTTTGCGGTGGTTTTGTTTTGTTTTGTTTTTGTTTGCCTGATGGAGGTTCTGCCTCATGGGTCTATAGTATCCCTGATATTGTTTTGGTGGCCCTCTGCTAGGCCACCGTGCTTTTACACGTCCCAGGGGTTTTCAGTGTTATCATCTACCCCTTGTTTTGTTTGGGTTTCTTAACCGGTTAGCAACACCTTGCCCGGGCTTCCCGTAGTTGTTACCCTACGGACCCTGGAAACCCCTATCGGGGCTCGGTGGACTCATGGATGTGTCTCCTGAGTTCCAGCCTGCCTTGTGCGGGTTTGAAGGTTGCAGTGTGCCCTTGTCTCAGGGTGACAGTCACCTGTTTTGCCTCCGTCATGCTGCCTGTTTGGTCAACGACACCTTTGACCCGGAGTCTTGCGAGTCATGTTCTCTGCTTGTGCTCCAGTTTTACTCTTAGGCTTTTCCTGTTAGGGTACAGGCAGCATCAGCGTTGAATGTTAGGTTTAGGTTACTGCAACGTGCTAAGTTGGTTTCCCACCCGGATGCCCCGAGGCTGCCCCATTTTGATTTTAGGGACCGTGACTTGGGGGGGCGTTAGTCGCTTTGGCTTTGGCTTCTTCCGCGCTTTCTGGTCCTTCCCCTGTGGTTCTTCCTGCACCTCTCCCCGTGTCAGGCTCCAAAAGTCTGAGGGTTTTGGCCTCGGCACAGGGTTTAGTTGGTAATGAGACTCGGGCTACCTCGGGGGCTGCCCCATCCGGGTCGGGGACGGAGCCATTTGAGCCGGTTCCTCCTGCCGAGGCTTCTGAGTCCCACCAGTACACCTTCGCCCTGTTCGACGTTTTGTTCTCGTAAGGGGCATCGGCCCTTTCACGGTTCGCCCCGTTGATGGGGCGATGGGGGGGAGGCTCGCTCTGTTTGCCCATGCTTGGTCCCACGATTTGTGGGCCTTTTCAGTCGTGTCATCCGGCCTGCGGTGGCGTTGGGCGACTCGACCTCCTTCCGGGGGTTCGAGGCTGACAGGGCAGGTTGCTTCTCTTTCACTTTGTCAAATCATCTTGGAGTGGGTGCGCTTGGGCGTGATCGAAACGACCCTGTCCTTCAGGTGGGTTTCCCGCCTGTTTCCAGTGCTGAACGGGACTGTGCGAATCTAAGGTTCATTCTGGACTTGTTCCGTCTGAACCCCTGGATTCCTTGCTCCTTCTTTCGGATGATTACTCTGTCTCAGGTCCAGCTTTTGTTGCGAGCTGGGTGCCTGGATGGTGTCCCTAGACCTCAAGGATGCTTATTGGCACGTTCCTATTCATCAGGGGTTCAGGGACTGGTTAGGTTTCGGTTCCGTCTGAACCCCTGGATTCCTTGCTCCTTCTTTCGGATGATTACTCTGTCTCAGGTCCAGCTTTTGTTGCGAGCTGGGTGCCTGGATGGTGTCCCTAGACCTCAAGGATGCTTATTGGCACGTTCCTATTCATCAGGGGTTCAGGGACTGGTTAGGTTTCGTGGTGAGGCATCAGGCTTACCGCTTTCGTTGCCTCCCTTTTGGCTTGAATCTGGCACCTCGCGTTTTCATGCGTCTTATCTGGGTTGCGGTGACCCGTCTGCGTCTTCTAGGGATTCAGGTTTTGGCTAACCTCGACGACTACTGGTGTGGACTCCCAGTCGGTCAGCTTGTCTGCTCGTCAGGGATATGGTTCTTTCCCAGCTCGCCAGGTTAGGGTTTCTGGTGAACTAGAGGAAGTCCCATCTGGTTCCGTCCCAGGTTCAGACCTGGCTGAGTCTTGTTTGCGATTTTCGCACCAATTCCTTGTCTCTCCCTCCAGAGGCGATGCGACGGCTGCGATCCCGCCATCAGCTATTTCTGAGGGGGTCCCAGGTCACTCGACAGTTGCTCGAGCGGTTATGCGGTAGTTTGAACTTTGCCGTGCTGGTCTACCCGCCAGGTCGGGTTTGGCTTCGGCGTCTGTTTTGGTTCCTTCGGGGACGTCCCTTCCACTTCTCTCGCGATCGTTGGGTTTGTCCTCTGGGGAGCTTTGTGTCGGTTGCTGCGTTGCCAGCTTCCTCTTCGGGGTTTTCGGGGTTCGGTGCCTTGGCGCTTTCCCAAGCCTTCACGCAATGCGTTCACGGACGCGTCCTCTCTCGGCTGGGGCTTTGTGACCAGTGCTCACCAGGCCAGCCAGGCACGGTGGGGTCTGTCTTTCTGTCGGGTTCACAGCACAGTTCGGGAGTTCGCAGCAATCTGGTTTGCACTTCGGAGGGTTCGGCTCCCTGGCAACCCTCCCTCCCACCGGTCGGCATTTTTTTCGCGTTGGTTGAAGCCTAGTTTCCGAACTGAAGGCGCAGTGAGGTCCAGGGCCCCTCCCCTCCCCCTCCCCCTCCCTCCTCTTGGGGTAGGGAGGGCTGCATGGCAGTAAAATGTGATATGCGCGGCAGTAAAATGTGATAATTGCTTGTTTGCTTTTTTCCTTGGGATTGTAGGGCGTTTCTACCTCTCTGTTCGGTTTTTTGTTTTAGTTTTTTACCATGTGGGGTTCTTATTGTTATGCCTACCTTTCTTGGTGCTTAACCCCGGTCGATGGCAGATAAGGAAAGCCTCAAACCACAAGGGGGTTTTCCAGGGCCATTGCTCCCTGAAACCTCTCTGAAGGAGCCAGGTTCTGGCGCTGGTCCCTGGTAGGTCTGAACTCCATAATTAATGTCCCAGTCTAAGTTAACATACATTAGCCCGATAAGCTCCAGGGAGCCTCTGAGGCTCGCCCAGAAAATAGCGTTTCATTACATTCAACGCTGGTTTTATCAATATTACATGATGCTGTGGCCCCTAGCTGCACAGCGGAGCTGTGAGCTCCTGCTGCATGTGCCAGCCTTAGCCACTCTCAGTACTCAGGTTCTCACAGCCAGGAGAGATGGAGACAAAGTTTTTTGCAAGATGGCATCTGTTTACTGGAGCCCTGAAGAACAGGATGTGAGCCCTGTGCACTTTCTACTTCATCTTGGGACACTTGTATGTGCTATATATTGGTCTCTGAAATTCATAATGTGTCTGGTTCCCTGAAATCCTTATTTTGTTCAAACAACTTTGGAACTTTGCATTTAATGTTTCACACATTCCCATTCAGTTTTATGTGAATCCATTCCCCATTTTCAACCTCTGGATTGTATCCTTTACATGCAGCTTGTTTTTAATAAATAAAGAATTGGTCTGGTTCTATTTTACAGTTGCCTGCTATCCATTTCTCCACATTTCTTTCTACTTCTCTTCTCACTGCTGTGTTGTTGTTTCTTGTTTGTTTGTATTGCTAGTATGATTGAAAGTTAGGCCTCTTCCTATATCAATTCCAATTTTTGTGTCTTGTTTTCTGGCCCTTGTATTTTTTGTTTTCTAGTTCTTCATCTCTATTTTGGTATAAATGCTTTGTGCCTTCATCATATACAATATTGCATACATCCTCCCAAGATGGGTAGCTACCCACCTGGTAACCTCCAAACTTAGATATGAGGAAACTTGGTACAATGCGCAAATCCAATTTCTCAACTTCCTTTTAGCAAAAACAATGAACCTGGGTTAGCCAAGCTACCTCCTTCCAAAATGTTAGTTTGTTGTAGCTTACAGCCTCTTTAAGTGAACCAGATTCTGGTCCTGGCTCCTGATAGGTGGTTGTGGGTCTTAGGGCTACATGGGCCCCTAAGGTGGCCTGTGTGTTTGGGTGTATCAATAGGTGATTGGAAAACACCTATGAATAGGTGTTTTCCAAGGCTTTTGACATTTTCTAGGTTGTAGCATTTGGGAACTACTGAGGGGGG